ACCTTTTCCTTCAGACTACGCATTAACCCTGGCTTACAGCCGACCGTGACACTACCTATTAAGTGGTGCTTGGTAGCGTGGCCTCTGTTTCAGTATTACCGTCATCTATCCCATCCGTATGTTGAGTGCTTCTTCCCATTTCCCAGGCATTTCAATTTCTTCCCTCTCATATTAAGTGTTTAGTTATAATAGTGTTCATTTACTAAGGAATACAACCACACGCCACTCCAATCACTGTCACTCACCTGTCCACTGCTGCTTTTGGCATTTCAAATCTCTTCTTATTTATCTTACGCCACATCTCGCCCAAAATTAGAGGCAGACGCCCCACCCCATGTACCGTTCTCACCAACGCAAAAGCTACCAAATCAAAGTCTCGCTTCTTCGTCAGAGTGATTTTTAATCCAGTAACGTTTTCTCTCCACGCTGACGGGCTGACAAAAAATCCCGGCATCACTGCCAACTGGCGCGTGCCGTCACGGACAACGTGACTTTGTAGCCACGTGACGTGACGTAAGATGAATACTGGGCCGTGATTGCTGCTGACAAACTTGCTGACGACAGATCGAACATGCTGACGACAGATCAAAATGTTTACCCGAGTCATTTTGTGTCAGTTACCTACACTAATCTTTAGGAGTGTTCCACATCTGTGTGGGGTGGGGCTTTGAACTAAAATGACCATCTTGAAGATCATTCGATGCAGTTCACAGTCCTGCCGTTCTTTACATCCAAACCCCTTTAGTTTCTGGGGTTCACGCCCGTGGAGATGAGCAGACTAGTTCGGGGAGACGGTTCCAAGGTCAATCAGGCATCCATGACTTAATAAAAAACGTCATTCAAACCCTGCTATTCCATTAGCCCTGTGGTAATCAAGGCCAGTAAAATATTATTGTCGAGTCGTTCATATCTGGCATGCGTGAGCACGATATCCAGATATAACCACCGTCAATTGGCTCCCAGTAAATGCTGTACGTGATCCGATGACGTAATCAATGACGTAATTAGGCACATGTGTACTAAACCGAGAAATAGTGTGGTCTATAGTTATTCTTGCCGCTGGAAAGCACACCAAAAGTGATATAAGTGAGCTCATTTTATCATCTCTGATGCTTGCTTTAATATCTTCAAATGTGGAATATTCCCCCTAGCAAGGCATATCCATCTATATCAAGATATCACTAACGTAAATATGGCATAGGAAGGAACATCTAGAAGAACTACACATCTTCATATTTAGAATCACCGTGTTAACACCAGCGAGCGCGTGTTGCGCGCTCGATGATTTGTTATCGCGCGTGAAGGCCTTAGAGGTAGTGGCACGTGACAACGCGCCCAATGACATGTATTTATTCCGGTAGATGCAAAAACGCCACTGCTGAAGAAAATCCGCTGCAAAACTACTAAAGGCGAAAATTTTCTCGCTGGGCTGTTGGGCTCTCGAAATACCAAACGTAAACATCATAAGCCGTTGCAGGTTTGCGACGGGGTGGCAGCCAAGATCCTGTAATAACAACTCAGCAGCGCGACGGCGGTGTAGTCGTAAGAGTTCTTTAAGTCAACTCGAAGATCAGAGGACGGCCATGCTGAGCGAGGCGAGTAAATTACACTAAGTCAAAATCCCAGCACTTTCAAGTGAGTGACTCTTGTCAGATGACGACCACCGGCTGTCCTCACACAAAGCGTTTGGAGACCAACATAAACGGCATGTTTGCCTATAACGGTCATAATTACGAGCAAAAGTGAACAAACTAGAGACAAAATAGCACATAGTGACTCCGAAATGACGCATCAGAAACAAACCTGAACAGCCTGTATCGGTGTAGTTTCACAAATTCAGTTAAGATGAGTAGAGCGGTGAGAATTATCCCAACCTATTACCAAATTATAACAACACATGTGTTTCTCGGAGAGTTTAGCCCGTTCTCATCTTAAAGTTCGGGGTGGGGGAGGGGGGACGGGTAAACCCTATGTATGAGAAATTTGTGTTTGTGTTTGACTGTGTCTAGTACGCGCCACAAGGCGTCACATCATTTATGAGGCTACTCGATGCAGATCACGTGACAGCGATATGTTTCATAAAATGTGTTGGCGGGGACTGAGATGTTGAAATTCACGAGACCCTCTCCAAAACTTCGCCACCAAACTAGTTGTTTACGGATTTGCTCACTTTATTCGCAGAAATTGGGGATGCGGGGTTCTAAGTGAGGGAGGACTTCTTCTGAAATAGGAGACTAAACCCCTGAAACCTGGGGCCCCAAGTTTATCACTTGAGTACTCAGTGCTCATGAACATGGCCGATGACTTGAAAAAAGAACGTGAGTGATAACCCTCACCCTGATTCGCCTTTTTCATAAAGTGGACTGATAGTTGAGTTTATGCGACACGCCCCCCTCCGCCGCGTCCTTCGTCTCCAAACTAAGTAAAATAAAGTCCAGCAGAAGCGGAAAGCACCAATATGTTGATCTCAACGAGACTTCGCGATTGGTAACTCTTAGTTTGTTGTTAGTTCGACACTAATTCTTATTATGTCAGGTCAAAGGTCAAATTACTAAAAGGTCACACGCTCTTGTGGGAGGCCCCGCCCGTTAACCTGCTTGGGCACACTCGATTATTCCGGGCATTCCATATTGCATCTTAGGTTTTTTATTTAAATAGATGGCCCTATTTTCTTGCCGGGGCCCCATCTATTAAGCTGCTCGGCCAATGGTGGGTACAGGGGGGGGGGGGAGGGGGGACCATGCTCCCTTGTGCCTTGAGGGAATTCATTGTCTTTGAAAAGGTCCATAACCGGCCAAACGAACGCGGTTTTCTAACGCAAAACACAAAAAAACTTTGGGGGGGGGGGCACCAGGCGACCAAGAACAGTTCTGAGCAAAAGTGAGCAGACAAATGTATTTTTAGCTCATTGGGGGAGCGGGATTCGGTGATATTGCGAGGCTCATCAGGTTGTCCAGAGGCGTAACGCTGTTGCCGGAGTCCTATATGTCTACTTGCCCGGTTAATCCGATCGCTGAGGAGCCTTTCACGTTGCCTTGAGCTCTTTGAATCTTTTCGTAGGGCCCTACGCTGCTATTGCGACCCTGTCTGCTTGTATGCCTTGGCACTCTTGAGCTATCAAAGGCCCTCCATGGATTCTTCCTATTCGCCCGAAAAGTGATATAAGCTTTGCCGGGGCCCGATATGCCGGAAATCACCATGAGCTGAAGAGGATAAATAGATGAATCAGTTCCATATATGTGTGTACGTAGCACGGGCTGCGCACAGTAAAATAGGTTTCCGCATCAAAAATAGCATGCTAAGAGTCATAAAATTTTCTGGTCGCAATGCGAGGTTTTTCTTGTAGGGCCCCAAAACTCCAGGGGTCGACAAGGTTTTATGACCCTCACCTTGACGCGGTTTTGGATCCACCACTGCATGTGTATGATTCCCACGAATTTCACCTGTGGAGTGATTGTTTTTTAATCTTTCAATTCAAAACCCCATTTTCAGTTCAGATTGTCTCCGCTAGATGCCGTTGTCACCCCTTCAATCCTGATTATCCCCGCGGTTTCAGAGTCGCGATAACGCCCATGCCCAAGAAAGACTAAAAAAATACACAGTAGGTTTTCTTAACACGCGCGCAGATGGAGTCAATTTGACCCCGCTCCCAAAGTTTTTCCAGAACAATTTCGGAACGGAGCGGCGTAGCCGCGCCAAACTTTGCATGGCTGTAAACAACTGAACAGCGGATATTTTGGTTAAAAAATAGATGTGCCCTCCAAGGCCGTGTACCTGCAGCGGGTTAAGTCACACTGTGGCCGTCAGCGGAGCCATTTCCAGGAATCCTTTAATCCGATGCCACAGCGGAATAGGAGACGAAGTCATGCATATTTGAGATAGCTCGATAGGCAAAAAGAGATAACATTTAAAGCTACAATAAATTCCGTTGACCTAGGGTCGGGTATGAATATTAGACAAGGGTTAGGACAAACACACTTTCTAACTCGGTAGCATGCTTGATAGGCTATGTTTTGGTGCTCATTTCGGATTTATTGATGGCAGGGACCACAACAGACATGCCACATGAACTTTTCAAGGTCAGAAAAGGCCTCTGACCTAAAATTTCCAAGGTGAACATTTTGCTTTGAGGAGCACTCAGACTAACGTAATCCCTTGCGCTTATCTCAGTGGCAAAACTGAATAATCTCTCAGGATTATGGTTACTTTGACCTTCTAAAAGACAGGAAAAGGTCACCGACCTTAACTGAACACCATGAAGGATCTTTTGCGAAGAATGGATATTGAGGTTAAATGTGGTTGCATGAGAATGTCTGGGGTACTTTGGACACCAATCCAGAGTTTGACATTATTTGACCTTACTTGACCCTTCGGTCGTAATATGTGAAGCTAAAATTTTATCACAGGTGAGTTCACATACAGGCCAATGCACTATGTGGTTAAAATATTTTATCAATGAAGTTAGATAAGACAGTACTAATAGTTATTCCTCGTAGAATAACCGGGAGAATGGAGAGGTGGATATGAGCTACATGTCTTTATCGAAACGAATATCAGAAGTGGCTGACTTCTGATATTGACTACTGAAATTCGTTTCGTTTTAAAGGCATGGAGCCAAACCACCAATGCATCTACCTTTCCATTCTCCCGGTTATTGTACGAGGAACACGGCTAAGAGTACCGTCTTAGCCATATGCGTAATGCTCATCACCAACGCAGTTAACACCTTATGTTTCTCAATGCCTGTTAACTTTGTTTTAGTTTGCGGCTCCCTAACTGTTTTTTGTCTTAATTCGTCTCGTTAATATGCTTGGATACAGATGAAGAAATCTGTTTAATACGCATAATTTTGTGTATACGGCAGTTGTCGCCCTTAGCACAGTACGAAAACTTCTCCAATTTGGTAGCTTTGCAGAACGTGTTTCCCAGAGCAGGCGTTTTTCTATCTACCACAAAAATCTGTCAGCGACAATCTGCCTGCAGCCAGCCTCGAGCAAAAAGCCGGCTCTCGACGTTGTCAAGTGTTGGTTCGAAGATAGGTGTGCGTTGTGCGTGTGGTCTTGGGGGTGCATCGCCACGCAGGGCGATATGGGTCCATTACTACTGCATATCCTAGCTTGGGTCGTTTTTGCGTGCTGCACGTATTATGACATGCACATGCTTTTCATTCCTGATGCTAAGCAGCCCAGCTTCGAGGTCGTAAAGGAGCTAGCATTTCAGAGAAACCGCTTGGGTGGGCGGTGGAAGTACCTGACTATTTGGGGCCTGGTAAGTTTTTTCTTTGCTTTGGTGTTTGTTGTATTTTCTGGGATAATCAAGGCTGCTTCAATGTTTTCATCATTGTTTTATATAGTGGGTGTCACACAAGTGAGTGCCCATAGGGCTCGTGCTGTCTTTGGCATCCCTGTTGTAGTACCTGCATCACCTAAAATATCCTGAATTAAATAAAGGGGATGTTGAAGGTTGTACAATATTGGTACCAGTTAGGACTTGATGCCTTGATGGATACATCACACCATAATCTAGTGATGTGCCATATATTGACAAGAATCAGCATTTGCCCCTCATTTGACACCTGCCCAGCTTGCATCAGTGGACATCTAAATGTGTGTTGCAGCTGACAGGTAATCATACCAAAATAGTGGAGGCTGCTGACACTTAAAACTGCTCACACAATGCCATCACAAAACCTGAAAACTGCTGCTAACCTGGTGGTAGCTGCATGTGCATCCAAGCACGGCTGGTCCATGATGGTGCATTGTTGTGTCCTGTCATATGTGTGGCACCCAACCAATGGACAGTGATCAAAAGGAACCAGTTTGGCCAGAATGGGTCCCCTCAAAATCAAATGGTTCAGGGTGAGTGGCAGGCATGAGGGAAGGCAAGAGCTGTTTCTTTTGCATACCATGTACAGAAAAATGAAGGTGTTTGTGTTATCTGGTTAGTTATTCTGGTATATCTGGTATATGACAGTTATTCATGAATATCTGGCACATCTTATGAGACCAATGCTGTATGGTTTGGATACTACATGCAGTCCTTTCTGGCTGTCTTAGGAAGTGCAAGTCCTATTTTGAGGGAGTTCAATGAGCCCTCCTGCCCCCCCCCCCCCCTAGTTCTTATGCTCCTGCATCTAATGCTCAGTTCCCAAAGTTGCTAAGTGCCTTGGATGTTTAAGGATGTGGGTATCTTGCTCTTTGCCCAGGGGCATTCATTTATGTCCATTTCAGGGAAACCTGGCACTGCATGTAGATTTTAGTAATGTAGAGTGGACTGTGTGATCAATTCAGTGATTGTTGGCTTAGCCTCTGCCATACCTGCCATACCACCTCCTCCACCCTTGCTACTCTGATAGCACTGATTGGGAAAACAGAGGAGGCAGCAACAACTGACTATTCTGGGCAGTTCATGATAACTTGATGCAGGCATAGAACAAATGTCTAATAACATGATGAGCAGATGATGGTAGGTGTGTGGCCTAAATGGCCTATGTTTGGTTGCTGCTCATTTAATGTGAGATAAATCTGGTGTACTCAATGTGATTTGTGTACTTGTGAACATGACTTGTGAGTCACATGGACCTGTGATATGAATCCATTTACTGAAATGGACTTGGCTAGGGTAGCAAGTTTCGAGCCTGACGAAAAGTACACTGGTGCTGATTTACCCATTCATATCGTGGATGCAAATATATCCATTTACTCTACTAATTTCTTGCAGACTGCTCAACTGATCTATTACTTCATCGCACTGTTGAATGACGTACTCGGAACGAACACCTTCGTGGAACGTGACGTGTCAAAACTGCAACGAGTGCGGGATGTGTTCTTCACATCGATCGCCTTTCCCATCGGACTGGTAAGGGCTGTTGGATTGTCACAATCCTTTCACCTGTTAACGACTGGTAACGGCTCATGCCGATGTGTTGCTGCCTGTTTCGCGAAGCATTGTATTTTTTGTGTAACTACATGTCAGTTATGCTGACAAAACACATCTTGTGTGCTGTTACGCTAACTGGCATTCCAGTTGGTCGATGCCGGCAAGCGGAGGTGGGTCGCGCACTCACCGCTCCGCGGTGCTCGCTCGACCGCAGGTTGTGACCCGTGCTAAGGGATCCCAGTGCCCAGTGGATTCGGAAACTTTTTCAATTTCGAAGTGGTCGTGATGGTACGGTGGTTTCTGTTTTCTTTTCGCGAAAAGCCCGCAGCCCACATCAAGACTACGTGAGTGCGAGGGTCATCCCGGGATCAGGGATGCTCACAGTGGTGGAGCTGTGGACCTGGAAAGTGGTAGGGCACTTGACGTTCCAGAACGGAAGTCAGTTGGCGAGCTAGTCCGTAATTACGAGCCACCGGGTGGCATGCAAAGCAAGTGCGATCGCAGGGAATCTGGCGACCCAGCGTCAGTCCGCAAACATGAAGCCTAATAGCGAGGCGGTGGGCCGAACCGCAGTCCATCGGTCACAACGGTAATGGTAACAGCAAAAACCTCAAGGAGTGCCTGGATGCTGCCGTGGGCACACTTAGGACCGCATCACCGTATCACTATCCCGTGAGGACCGCATCACTGTATCACTATCCCGTGAGGATCGCATCACCGTATCACTATCCCGTGAGGCCTGCATTACGGTATCACTATCCCGTGAGGACCGCACCACCGTATCACTATCCCGTGAGGACCGCACCACCGTATCACTATCCCGTGAGGACCGCACCACCGTATCACTATCCCGTGAGGACCGCACCACCGTATCACTATCCCGTGAGGACTGCACCACCGTATCACTATCCCGTGAGGCCTGCATTACGGTATCGCTATCCCGTGAGGACCGCACCACCGTATCACTATCCCGTGAGGACCGCACCACCGTATCACTATCCCGTGAGGACCGTATCACCGTATCACTATTCCGTGAGGACCGCATCACCGTATCACTATCCCGTGAGGACCGCATCACCGTATCACTATCCCGTTAGGACCGCACCACCGTATCACTATCCCGTGAGGACCGTATCACCGTATCACTATTCCGTGAGGCCCGCATCACCGTATCACTATCCCGTGACCTTCACGAATACTGTGTGATCGGAGCTATAGGGAACCTGGTGCGACTAGGGGACCTGAGGCGTTACGTGGAGAGGGGGACTGTGTCATCACGGAGCTGATCAAGGAGCTGCGTGGATCAAGGTCGTGGGTACTTGAACTTTGCTACGGACAGGTAGAGCCAAATGCAGTCTTATCGAGGTCGGAGTCGTAGGCATGTATTGTAGGCACCGCAGCATATGTGCAAGATCTGAAATATTTAATTGGAAGTCACCAGCTCGTGATGTTGAGTTCGGAGTAAGTGCTCCTTTCAGTAAGTGACCCCCTTGAAGTCGAATCTGCTCCGTGTACAGGACAGCGTGGAGGGTGGCCTTGTAGGCATGGCTGCAATGGTACGAATAATGACGCCTCTGGCCTGGAGAAATTCCAGCATCCATTGGCCTCGCTCCATGGGCCGGCATCCGCAGTAATATCATATGCTGAGAATAACTGCACCAAATTTCCCAACAGTCATAGAACTGCTGAAACGCCGCTGCGGGGCGTAATCTATTAGCACGGCAAACCGGAACGCGCACACGGATCTGACTGCTCCGTCTGAGAATGGGCAGAATTTTGAATCATTCCGTCAGACGCGGATAAGATTGTGTCTAGCATCAGTGACCCACGTGCACTACAGGGGAGAGCAGCTCTCGAGGCGGCGGTGGTGCTGCCAATAACAGTCGGCGGGGGGGGGGGGGGGGGAGGTTACCGCGGGACTGGCTTATAATGCCCAAATCAATAGGATGGTGATGCTACAACGTAAGAAGGACTATGAAATGAGCCATAGCTAACGTGCAGCAGCAAGACAGCTTGAAAAGGCGCACCAGCATCAAGAGAAGTCGGCGCAATGACATGTCCTGTAGACCTGGAGACACCTGCGTCGCCTGGTGGACTAATGCCTGTGTCAATAAACACAAGTGCTTTGCGCTGTACCTACGCTGTCTGCCACATTCGCAGAATGGGATGCATCATAGTCTTTTTAATGGCATGCCACTGGGAAGGCCGAATGCCGCTCTATGAGAATGTCGACAAACTCAGGAGGAAACGCTCACGCGCCCAACAGAATGGTGACACACTCAAAGGCTTCCTGCTCGTGTTCATAATTGCAAAAAGTAATCTATTCTACGCGGCGTAGTCGCTTAAGCGGATTTTAAAAAAAGTGTGGAACATGGGGGTGATGAGCGTCATGACCCACACTTCGACGAAGCTCAAAGTTTTCCAACTTTGGCTCCTGACACGCTTCAAGGAGAACTTCACGCTCAGATCACAGCAAAGAGTACATCACGCGAAGCACCGTAGTTGTTTTCGGAGACAAGCTAACAGAAGATGGGATGGCGCGTATGCTTCATGGCCTAGTGGTCATAAAATTGCAACTATTTAACTTTTGCCAATGTAATGCTTGTTTGGACTGTCGTGCTCGTCTGGTGTGTTTGTAGCTACGCGAGTGCAGGAGCTTAAACATCAAACGAGGAGGACGTTCCGAATAGGTATTGCGTTTGTGATACTCATACCTCGTCGCAATCAATCCGGAAACTATTACTCACTGAAACTTTTCGACGTAGCGTAGGCGTGGCGCTTCTGGCGAACAAGTTTGGAACGCTGGGTCATCGGGCCGTGGTCCACTTGTCAAAAAAGTTTCGGAACTATCCATTCTCAGCTCTGATACCTGGAACAAACACTCGGATCAGAACAGAAATTACACCAATCAAACTGTTATCTAACGCAAACTGTATCCGTGAATTATTAATTGTTTACCCAGAAGGTCGATAGTGATCAAAGGTCTAGTAAACGGCAGATGGTGTCCGCCGAGCCCGGGCTCTGTGAGTCCACTGCAAGCTGCAGGAGATCTGGAGTATCGTCTGTCAAAGTCTGCTAGAATCCTCGGTGGTGTCAGTTACCAGCTGGTACGTTGACGACATTGTTGATCGAGTCAAGGAAACAATGGGTGCAAAATGACCCATATGCCGACGCGCCCGAAAACACCAAATCACTGCCACACCGGAACTGTTCTGTTGGGCTTTGGAGATGCTTCTGGACGTTCCTGCGCAGCTTCAGTCTGCCTGCAGCTGAATACGGATGACATGAGCTTCCGCCTGCTCGTCGCATCGAAGTCACAATAGTCGCCGCTGGCTAGGCGAACACACGCCTACATCTTGAATTGGTCCCTGCCGTGATGGGGATGTCGTTGGTAGCAAACACCAGAAGCGCCCTCACCCTGCAACGATGCCTCAGAGGACTCAGGTTTTGCTGGGATAGCTTTGGAACGGGTTTGAGCACGATGCTGAAAAAATTGGTTGCTTGGTCACATCATTTTTACTTATGTGAGAGGAAGGTTCTGACGTTGGCGATTCGTGGCCATTAATCTCTTCTTTGGATGAAATGTCTGACATTTTCCGTAACCTAAAAGTGGCAAATAATGCCTATTTCTTGCATGGAATGCACTTGAGGGAGATCTTCTGGACGTGCTCTTTTCATCGATATCACTCTGAAGTGCATTGTTATCACTGCTATCGCTTGCTAGGTCAAACTGTTCAAGGTGTAGCCTACAGGGGTTTTCTCTAAAACTGGTTGTTTCGCTATTATCATACTATTTACTGCGAGTGCAAATATATGGAAATCGTCTGAAAATGTGTGCGTGCCGGGGATAAAGCGTTTGGTTGCTACATCAAACGGACCGCATTATACCAGTGGTTTCTCAGGTCGTCCAGACTGCCATCAAATACCTTTGCCTTCTCCACAACAGTATTAGATTGGCTTTAGAACATAGCTATACGTCCGCACAAAGTACGTTCCTGGACATCGTTGTGACGGTGTATGTAAACTCGTAAGTATTAAACCCAGCTGTTCCTCAAGTCGAAGCATTCCGACACCATCATTCATGCCCCGTGATACACCAACCCATTCCATATTCACGAAAGGGTGGTAATGGTTAGGCATTTCAGGGCGCCATGAAGATGCCGTGGCATGCCGCTGAATGTGCTCGCTCGTGTAAAAATATCCTTGGATGTTTTCTAGCATGGATATCTCGGTGGCGATTGATGCTGTGCTGATGAGTGGCATATTTTAGACCTTCTTGTAGGGTTCAGACGTTCAACTCTGAACCGTCGCACATGCCATCTTTTGGGACCTATACCAGTAAGAAACATTGCGACGGTTGAAGATTATTGATACCTTCCCGTTCGCTACCTTCCGTTTCGTGTCGATAACATGCGTTTCGTTTCCAGGTCGTGAGCTTTGTGCTCCCGTTCGTCAAAGAGCTTTCGTTTACATTCAAACATTATCCGATGTGTGCGTAGTTTAGGGATTGTCATGGCTTCTCTGTTCTCTTCAGCTGGTGAGCGTCATGTTCTGGGGCCTGTTCGTGGTGGACCGTGAGCTGGTCTTCCCGGCCATCCTGGACCCGCACTACCCGTGGCTCCTGAACCACGGCGTCCACACTATGCCGCTGGTGCTCGGCGTCCTGGAGTTGATGACAGAGCGACACAACTACGCCGCCAACCGGCTGTCGATCAGCCTGCTCTGCACCTTCCTCGCCTCCTACCTCGGCTGGTAAGCTGGTGCGCCTGCCACTGACGCCGTTGAAACGCTGGTGAATGATGTGACAAAAAAGAATATTGCCGGAGTAACGATAATCAACACAATGCAACGTACAGCTGCATCCATGCCAGAGGAGTTCTGTACGCCACACCATTCCGCAGCAGGCCAGACTTGCCGTTGTGAGCGAAAGATTAATGGCATTGCACGGGTTTCCTTCCTGAAAAGGAACATAGCTGTATGTACAGTGCTTAGCTGAAGATTAGTTAAAGAACCTTTAGAGCTGCGCCGCTATTCATGAAATCCGCAATCGTGGCAATATTAGCGTCACACTGTAGTCAGCTTTCAACGCTTGTCGAATATAGGCATCGCTTGATCAGTTAAGCAGCATACTCGCCTGGCAATACGGCCGGCGGCCGGCGGTGGCGGCGCGTGTGCCCCCGGTGGCGGCCGCGGACCGCACGATCGGCCTCAGGGTGGGCGGCCCATGACTGACGTGCTCACTGTGTAACCAGTAGCCAGTAACGGCCGCTGCTGTCGGGTGCGCAGGACGCTGTACCTGGCGCTGGCGGAGAACCTCTGGGTGTACGGCATCATGCGCGTGCTGGGCTGGCCGCTGCGGATCGCGTTCATCGCGGCCAACCTGACCGTGACCGTGCTGCTCTTCTTCCTGGGGAAACGGCTGGACGCCCTGGTGTGGGGTGAGTGGTCGTTTTCCGCTGGACTGGCCGCAGAGTGAGGTGAGTGGTCTCTCACCACTGGACTGGCTGCGCAGTGTGGAGCGAGTGGTCGCTTTCCACCACTTCGGGGGTCATGATTGGGAAGCTGTCATGCTTTACAGTGGATCAGTTACCACAGCTGGCAGTTCCATCGCAAAAAGAACCTGAACACTTTCTTTTTCTGACTGGCAAATTGCGCCTGTTCACGATTTATGGTGCGGGTGTGGCATGGAACGGTTTTCGCGAACTTTCCAGGCTGGTGGAGCAGGGCTCTTTGTAGGCAGAGTGAAGTGAAGGGCTAGATTGCATGATATTCTTGTTTGTCTATGGCTTTGGTATCATTTTTTTTCTTCGCAGATTATTTTTGCAAGGTCGTCCTTTTTCCTAGGATAAATCTCATGTAACAAGCCTCAGATCGTCGGATTCTGGGAACCGGCCGAGTGTCAAGGTGCCGTGGCCAGCCAGCAAAGGCAGCCGAGCGCGGTGGGCGCCGCTGACCACCCTGTCCTTCCGTGCGGCCGGTCACACGCTCACTCGGCCGTCCGTCCGCAGGCTCACAGAAGGCGGCCGCAGCGAAAGCGAAGGCCAAGAAGAGCCACTGACGACTGTCTGGAGAGGCCCGCACGCCGCCGCCGGTGGTAGCGCTGTCCGGTCCTCGGGTCGGCTCGTCGGGACCGCGTGGTGTGCGCAGCCACGTATCAGTCGTCTGGCCTTTGGTAGTCGTTGAGATGTAGCTGAAAGCGGAAACGTTAATTTGCGGTGATTTTGCTCATTGTTCCCCGAGTGGTGATTCACGTTGTTATGTGTAATATGGCGCGTCTACACCTTTCGACTGCTGAACAGTATTGTGCCCATCGCCAGCGTCTGTTGAGCCCCATGCGTCATAATTAGTGCGTATACCGGGCTTTGCAATCCACGTCATTGAGGTCCATGCGACCTTTGTTATTGTTCGTGATTTGGTGTCCAGTGTTTTGTTTTTTTGTCATCCAGGATGGCATTGAAGAATGCCAAACCTGTCGTTCACCACCACCTAATCTGCATTACGTCATTCGCTCTTAGCGGTTTCATTCCCCAATGAAATACTTGTGCCGTCGGGTATCACGTGAAATGCGTGTGCTATTTTGGAATGCTCAGGCATCTGGTCCGTTGCAGAATGTTTGTTAAATACTCCTTTTTAATTATTTCGCGATCGTTGGCCCATATTTTGCGCGTGATTGTTATTAGATGATAACCCCTGATCGAGCTGTAGCGACCAATGTCGATATTTGATCTAACGCCCGATGCATCTCCTCAGTGGGAAGGCTGTGTACAAGACTAAACCAGGCTGGTGTCAGCGTCATGCTTTCGCTGGAATCACGTCAGGACATGACATATGTGGATCTGTCGTGGACTCGTTGCGAGCTCCGTACAATGGCATAATGAATGCTGATTGCCACAGCGTTTTCTTAGTGGGCTTATTGGAATAACATGCTGTATTAGTGGACTTAGCACGGTACAGCCTGATGCACCTGGCGATGTTTACCAAATACAGATAGACGACGATGGAAGCGTACTGAAATCGGCACGCCCGCACCCAAAGCCTCAAATCATCATTATCATCATCACGGTCACGGGCTGGGCGCTCCCATCGGCGCGTTTGACGGCCGGCTGGGCGACGGTTAGCAGCTGTACCTGAGTTCCCTGCACGGTGATGAGTGACGACCGCCTGCTGACCGCGGGCTGCGCGGGGATGAGCCACGGCTGCAGGCCGTGTCACTGCTTCACGGTCGCCTGCGGCCTGTGTCGTACCTCGAGGCCGTGCCGCTGACGGCGGTGTTTGTCGTCAACACTGCTGACGGTGGTGTGTGTCGTCAACACTGGCTGGTCGGACGGCACGCGTCGCGTCAGGCGCGGGACCGCCTCCTCAAGAGGAGTGCTGCCACTCGTCTGGTTTCCTCACCTTCGAGGCACCGCGACACCGATACATGTGCATGATTACAACGGCCTCACCATCTAGGATCCCGGATCGATCGGTGAATTCTGCAGGCGATAAGGTCGTTGGAGGCTTGTGGTGCGGGCAGCTTGGTGGCCTTGCCCGTGATTTCTTCGCTTTCACTTCTGACGTTTCATTTGCTGGATTTCTGAACCTCTAGTGTTACTTTCCTAATCCTGACACTCTGGATCAGGTGGAAAACACTGCTCTGGACAGCACAATTCTCTGTTAAGGAAATGTGCTCCTCAATGCGTCGTGATTTGATAACGTCATCGTATCTTGCGAAATATTGATTGAGAGCAAATTGGCGGCCGTTGGCCGCGTTCGATCTGTCGTCAGCACATTTGCCAGCCGGAATGCGTGACGTAATGCGTGTGGACGGCGCGTTTGATGTGTGGGCTGACGGGAGTTTTTGAACTTTGCCTTTCCTCCTTCCTTTACCTTTTACGTTACCCCACACACTAACTCTGGCTTACCGTCGACACACTACGTACAAAGTGGTGTTTGGAAGCATGGCTTCTGCTCCGATATTACCATCATCTATCCCATCCGCATATTGAGTGCTTTTTCCCATTTCCAATTCATTTCATTTTGTTCCCTCTCATTTTAAGTGTACTTATAACGCTATTAATTTGCCTGAACAACGTGACCATACACCATACCATTACTGTCACTCACCTTTTCACGACTACTCTTGGCATTTCAAGTTCCCTCCTTATCTATCTCCCGTCGCGTCTCCCCGTAAGATTAGAGACAAGTACCCCTTTCCCACCTAACGCGCTGGCATATACTTTTTCGTACATGCGTTTCTAGGCAACCCATGCAAACAACGTGAGGAATGGTGCTGACCGGTTCCTGTTGGTTCGTCATATTTCACCACATTTCCGCTTTTTCTCCATGCTGACGGGCTGACACAAAATCCTGGCATTATCGTCAGCCGGCGCATGAGGTAACAGGCCACGTGACTTTGTGGTCACATTACGTGACGTAGGGCGAATACTGGGCCATGATTGGTGCCGAAAAACGTGGTGACGACCGATCGAACGCGGCCGTTTTGTCTGTAAATGGCGTTCACAAGCGCCAGATATGAACGCCTCAACAATTACATTTTTCTTGACATCGATCGCCACATGGTTTATGAAATGGCAAGATCTGATGGCGTTATTATGACGTCATGAACGTCAAGGTAACAAGGTAAAGGTAAATCGGTGACTGTTCTCCCCGATATACCTTTGCTCATTTTCGCGGGCGTGTGGCTAAACAACTTGAGGGGGTTAGGTCTTAAAAAGAGCAGGATTGTGAACAGTACCGAAAGGTCTTTAGAATGGTTCTTTCAGCTCAAGACCGCATGTAAATGTGGAACTCTCCCTTTAACTGAAATAAACGCCAGAAGCTCCTGCCAGGTAGCGTGAATTCTGCCTGAATTTTAGCGTCAATAAGGTAAAGAAATAATGCGTTAAACGAATCCATGAAATAAATGGACGGAGCTCTTCAATTCACACTAGTCCAAAGCACTCTTTCTAAGCCGATAAAGCTTGGAGGCTTCGTCAGAAAGTGTATTTGTGTTGCGCAAAGTTGGTGACGGCTCCGCGAATGCAGATTATCGATACAAAGGCGTGAACAATTTTCATGAGCATGGCCATCCCATGGTTTTCTGGAAACGCTCAACATTCAGTCAGGATCACTTAGTGATATAAATTAGATACATACTTTTGAACAGGCGGGCTCGCAAATCCTAGCAATAAAAGCCTTAACGCCAGGCGTTGCAGTCCTCGCATGCTGCGCAACGTCGGCCCCGAGGCTAACACTAAGCCGTAGCCAACGGGTGAACGAAGAGCATGACGTATCTAAAAGAAGTACCTTATCTGCATATTTGCATAAGAACATATCTGCCTTAACATCACCGCAAAGTGGTGCTGGAATCTGTTGGGAAACTGGAAGCGTAAAGGCAGGATCTGTATTCTTTGCGTTCATGTAATTGTTTACCTGTCCGGAGGACAACCCCAAAGTTGTAAAAAGATACCCTGGGTCTCTTCTTTGAAAGGTACGATTTAATATTACTGACATTTGGAGCCATTATTTTACGACGGCCGTCCTCGCGCGCATGGCGCCCGCCTGGTATTACCCGCAGTGGCCAACATCTTTCAGTTTTATGGTAACTATAACCCAAGCAATTGCTGTCCCTGCTTCCGAGATTGATGACACGCAATATCAAACCTTTGATGTAGTTTTTTCACATGTCGGCTTTGCACAAGCACGAACATGTCAGGCAAACATGGGATGGCTTTATGCGTTATTGAACTCATTTCGACCCACTGTTTTCAACACTTATGACACCCCCCTATTTCTTGCCGGGAAATGGGTCCGCTTGCAAAGAAAACTAGGGACACCTTATTGTTCCCCGCCAAGGACTGAAGTGCCATTCCGTCCCATCGCGGGGTGCCTTCCGGCTGCCACCCTGGCGACACGGGGCGGGATCCTCTGGTCGATCCGGAGGCCCTTAGGGGGATAGATCACATTGGTCCACTCCCTGACGCGGGAGGCCTTCTGATCCGCGCAGTTGAACCTGGATTGACGCAGGAACCCTCACTGACGCAACAACAGCCTTGATCGCCGCAACTGGTCCAATAATCAGCACATACACTCCAGTTTTTTGCATACACTCCAGAACTTTGACCGACACGGAGCCGACTGTTCGGTGTTATTGATATCTAGTCGGAATAGAGAAACTCTGTTTCAGGGGTCCCCAATCGGTGCAAGAGGCCTTCTTATTGATATTTGAGATCACGGTCCAACGGGTAGTGTCCTTAATGTGATCTTCAGCCAACCCTTAACGCCGATCAGCCTTACCATTGGGCCCTTGAACTTTGGTCTCGAGAGCCTCCTCGACTCTTCTTCGGTCCCTTCCAATACCGCTCCTGGCCGACTCGGGGCCGCTTGCTGCCACAGGACCCCTGCCAGGCATTTTGGTCCCTGGACGGCACAGGAGCCCCTTATTGTGTTAGGGACTCCTAGCGTTGTAAATCGCGGGCCCCGGCTTCGTTCTTGCTTGGGAAATAGGTTTCAAAGGCTCAAACCACCAGATGGACATGGAGGCGACTGCTTGGCTCTGTGTCCGTAACAAATGCTTGGCTCCGTGGCCCTATGTGATAAGGATAAATAATGACAATAACAGGGCCCTAAAAGAATCCCCCTCACTGACATTGCAGGTCACGACACTACCGTTGGGCGTGGGGTCCAAACCCAGTCGGGCCTTGAAATTCGGTACCGAGGGATTCTTTGGTCCCTCTTCGAACCTCCTCGAATGTAGCCCGTGACTGACTACGAGCTTTTAGCCGACACATGGCCCCGTGTTGAGCACTGTGGGCCCCTAACCAACACAGGGGCCCTGTCATTGGTTCAGGGACCCGGACGCATGCAAATCATGGCCCCGGTCTCGCCCTTGCTTGGGAAATGGCCTTCAGGGTTCAGGCTGACAGGAAACCAACTATTCGGTGTTCGTGGTCTGTGGCCGAATTAGACATCCATGCTATTTTAAGGGTTCCTCAAGCGGTGTAAGAGAGCCTCTGATTGGTATTTTAGGACACGACCCTACGGGCTGCAATTTTTATATGACCTACAGTCAGTTCTTCGGATCATTAAGCCCTCCAGTCAGGCCTCTGATCGCTGTTTCCGGTAGGCTTCCTGGGCCTCTCTTCGGACCTCATCGAACAATGCCCCTGGTCGGCTCGGGGCCCTTTGCGAGCATAGGACCCACTGTTAGGTACTGTGGGCTCCAGATAAATACAGGGAACCCGACCAGTGTCAATCACTGGCCTCGGCTCTGTGGCTGATCGGGACGTGAGCCCTTCAGACCCATACCGACATGGAGCCGACTGTGTGGTACTGGTGGTGACTGACGGACATATAGGCCCATATCGACTCAGGGGGTTCGCCATCAGTGCAAAGGGCCCTCTGACTGTTGTTTGAGGGCCCGCCCACGCAGGTTAGGCCCCCTGAATAAGACTCCAACCAGCCCCTCATTCTCTTAGACTCTCTAATCCGATCTTAGATCTTCGAACCCGGTGGGCTCTCCAGGCTCTTGGAGACCCCTCGAAAACTGCATCTGGCCGACTTTGGGCCCCTTGCCAAAACATCGCAGGTTCTAGCTTCGTCCCTGCCTGGGGAATGGGCTCTCAAGTCCACGCCGCCGCGGAACAGACTGTGCGCTGCTGGTGTTGATATAAAAGCCCTCAACTCAGGAGGCCCCTGATCCAAGACGGCGGGCCGAGGCCCTGAATGCGACCTACGGCCGGCCTTTCGTGTCCTTTGGGCCCTCAGGTCGGGCCCGTAGTCGTTTCATTATATTTCGTTAACAATCCTTTCTGCCCCCCCCCCCCCTCGAAATCTACGGGGGCTCATGCCCCCTGTGCCCCTTGCGTGCTGCTACGGACTGAGAGTAAAAAGCTGGCCCGTCAGGTGTCCAAAAATTATCGATGACAAGCGCCAAATAAAGAATATCAGATTCGTCATGCAGTGCGACTCTGTAAATACATTGATGGGCAATAATTTGGCTCACCACTTCTCTCACTTCTTTCACTAATCAATTGGACGTCGTAATCGCTGGATGTTACAGGGACGTTAGATGTCATGGATTTGGACGTAACGAGCTAGAATGTCATGAACTCCACCAATGGGCACGGAACTGGATGCATCTCGGACATTATAAACCCTGTATGATGCACTTCTGTGATATGAACACTGTACGCTGTGATCCTGGACGTTATGATAGTCCCCCACTGAGAACCCAAATAAGCATTGCGAGGTCAAAAGGCCCTGAAAAGAATGCAGAGAGACGCCGAATGACACATTGAGCAGAGCTCTTAGGTTTCGGGGTTTCGTTGATTTTGCAGAAACTTCAGTGGCAGAGATGTTCGATGATGAGAACGCATAATTGTTTTTTCGTGCAACGACAGCTGATTCACTTCGCCTTACGCTGCGCCAGGAACGTCTTCTGAGACTGAATGGCAACAAAAACTCGCGAGAGAGGGCAGTGGACGTGTGACATTTCAAGAAACGTGCCGGGTTCATCCGTGCAGTGATTTCTTGGTCGTGCGCTTGGGTGGGAGGTGTTAAAAGTTGTGCTGATATTCTTTGTGGATACATCAACCGTAGATTTTGATGAAAGATGGAGACACTTCTTGAAATGGGGTTTCCAAAAAACAGAGCGTAAGTGGTTTTGTTTCCTGTCCTTTGTAATGATCAATTTGTTGGCCTAAATGTGCATAGCTTGTGCTTTTCACTAGTTACGGTGGTGCAATGCATGGAATGGAATATGTTGGTTATATTGATGCCCATTTCATCTACATGTGATCAGGTTTGTAATTACTGCATGTTGGTAGGTGTTCCCATTCATTTGCAAAATAGCTTCAATATTGTGGTTGATGTTCTGTAAAATCCCAAACTACATTCCCCATTCAGTAACCTTGGCTTATATTGCTCAAAGAGTCTCCTTATTATGTAAGGATGTCACATTCAGCTCTAAGACCTATTGGGGATATAAGACTATACAGGGATTTCACTGCTTTCTGTGTCTAAATTGTGCCCAAAGTTATTAAGTTAGGCACCTATGCTCAGGGCATAGGGATTACATATTTTTCATTATGCTTGTTAACACTTGCATTGTCCTCAACCTCTTCATGGGTATATGTGTAATTGTGCTTAGGCTTTTATCTTGATGTGCTTTGTGGTAATAGTCCTACTTTATTAACATAAATAGTGATATTGCTGCTGCTTATTTTTCATTCATGATTGGATCCTTATTAAGATTATTTCTATTTAACATAGGTGGAACTCACAATTTTGTTGTAATTGGGCACAAGAACATATCTGTGTTATTTGCCATCTGGATCGTCATATCACTGAGGCATCAGAAGCCTTTTATGCCTTCTAAGCATTTCAAAATTTGTTTTTCCCAGTTGTGTAAGATCAAACCCTGAGATTGGATGCACCTTGTGGATTGTGAAGAGCATCATTTTCTTAAGCCCATAGATGTTATAAATAGCAGAAAATCTTTCACTGGCTTTAGCATGGGATATCGGAATATAGGATATTTATACCATGTAATGTGCTCAGATTCATGATTGAGATTTGGCATGCTTATGATGAGTAATGGCAAAACTCAATGAACAATGGCATCCAGCCATTGCGCCAGATGGGGGCGTGGAGGCACCCCTTTCATTATTTCTGTGACACGGCTGCTCCATGCCAGGATAATACAGTTTTTCCCAGATTTCAGCTGACCATTGCATGCTGGTCGGACCAAACATTTTGCTTTCTCAGGGACTTGAAGCTGGTGCCACATGATGCATGTCCTTGATCTTATACCCTAGACCATGTAGACCATGTTGGTATCAAAACCACCATAATTATGGTGTAATAAAGAAGCTCCTGGTAAAAATAGCAAATGACTTAGAAGTTGGTGTTACAACTCTATATATTTGCCACATTGACTATTTCGGTGTCTCCACTCCCCTCAAGCCCGGTCCTCACAGCATCTGATCGAGCTCCTGGTTGATGTTCAATTCACTGATTGATCACAGGTGGTGTGTTAGCAATCTAACAATGACATTTTCTAATTCTAGCCAATCGCCGGTCGTCGTCGCCCACGCCGGCGGTGACGGCCGCAAACGTCAGCGTACCGGCGCAGTGACGTTTCATACCCATGTCCTGCCTTTCTTACAGAGAAAAGGCTCTTGCCATGACTGGACACAAGGGAGCTGAACCTGCAATGGAATGGCGAGTACTCGTGTTTTACAATACTTTTTTCTTAAATATTTGGTCCGAACCCTTTGAATGGACGGATTTCCGGGATCAGAGCTCATGCTAAGCAGTGCTTGTTGCGTAAGCCCTGACCCGTACCATCCGATCGCGTAATTCCATGTCAACGGTAGAATTTGGTGGCGAAAGCTTAGCGTGCCGCAATGCTCGGCACGGTCCGTCCTGCCCTCTGACGTCAACTGACCTTTAGCGCGACCGCTGCCACCGGCCGCAGGCCATACCTGTCAAGGGCAAATAGCGAGCGCCCTAAAGCGACTCGAACCCACCCCGCCACGGGTGGGTGTATCGGAAGGCAGGCGCTCTAACCAACTGAGCCACCGGGACGGACAATTGAGCCACCGGGACGGACTGGCCCATAAGTGGACATTGTCGCTGTAACCTCACTACGAGCCAAAACTGTCCCGAACAAATTACCAGATTAACATATTTTTGTTTGATTACTAAACCCAATGGCAATTCAGACTTTATCGGAAGGGAAGGTACACGGTGGGGAGAGCGCTGGAGAAGCTCGAGCTGTCGCCGTTGTTGGGCTATGGGTCTCGTGGCCTCTCCAGTTGCCTATAGGGTCCCGTCTTGTCTCCATTCATTAGTCGTGCTGTCTGGGATTGACGGTGTGCAGCACTAGCCTCCCCTTTCACCCATCGATGACGTAGCTGGCATCGTTCGCCTTGCGGCGTCATATAAGTAGATCACTGTGGGTTGTGACCTGTCTGTTTATTGCAGTGTCCTGTCTCACTCGGACGACCCTCTTTATTGCAGGCTCCTGTCCCACTCGGACGACCCGACCATTGATGACCCCATCCCAGAGGATGCTGCTACGGCCGAGGGTCAGGGGGAGCAGGTTCAGTAAGTGTCGCACATGTTGAAAACGCCCGCAGTGTGTTCTGTTCATGGTGGGTAACCTGGTGCATTAAGTATGGTTAAGTCATCCATTTACCACAACCTCTTTCCTGTGGGCAGGCATGAACTTCAGTCAAAGAGCATTTCATGGTAACATGTAATCACCTACCCATTGCATGAGCCTGCAGCATGGGTTGTGGGGTGCAAGTTATAGTCATGTTTATATGGTGCCCATTGCGACCGTTTTATTTTCATTTCGGCACGAGCGTTGCAAAGTGAGCCAGTGGATGTGCATATTGTTGCATGGTTATTCATATTGCCGGGCTCCTTTTCCAGAAGGGTTCTAACTGCGGAAGAAAAAGCTCAAAAAGCGAAAGAATTGGAAGAGAAAATCAAGGCGAGAAGATTAGAGAGGGAGGAAAAGGAGAAAAGGGAGGCGATTGAAAAAGAGAAGAATAGGATGGCTACAGGGAAGCAGATTGTAGACGCCAAGAGACGGTATGAGGCTCCTGCATCCTTAGCACTACAAGTTAGCATTTTATTACGTTTGGTATACTTCGATGGACGACTGGCTTGGCTAGATGTCGTTAAGACAATGCTCCATTCTGTGCATATTTTGCGTATATCTAAGCCGCTGGTGTAGAGTTTTTGTCTATGTAATTACTGAAGCAGCCGCATTTGCCCTGAGGGACCGTTTTTGAACACGGAGGTGACAAGCTTGTGCTGACGTTCCCGCGCTCAGCAGGCTTTTTTCTGTTTCCCAGAATGGAAGAGTTGGAGATGAAGAAAATCGCAGAGGAGAGAAGGCGAGAGAAGATTGAGGAGCGGCTGGCCAGGGAACGGGTCAAGAAGCAAATTGAGGCTGACAAAGTGGTACGGTTTTTAAATCGCGTCGCTGAGATCATCTGAACGTGTTACAGGACGGACACCACGTGCCCCATGTGTACTGTATTGCTGGAGAGGTACTCGCAAAATGTCCGAACATTGTGCGGTACTGTGTGCGCTACAGACTTCCCATCAGCAGTGACTCACACTGCGCATAATTCGTGCCCGGATAGTTGGCGTTATCTATGCTCTCGATCATCAAACTAGAAGGATGTGGCGGATCCCGCTGCGACCTCCACCTCTCTGCAGGCGCGGCGACAGAAGTTCGGAATGGAGACGCCAGAGGGTGCGGCGGCTGCAGCGCCCCCGGCTCCGGCTGCGGCTGCCGCCCCTGCCGCCCCTGCCGAGGCGCCCGCCAAGAAAGAGTACTCCATGACCAGACTACAGGTGCGCTGCAGCCATTGACCACTCCGGCCGTTATGGCTGCTGCTCACACACCCTGGTCCATACGCCGCAGCCATAGTCTGTGTTGCGACCGGTGTGCGGATATTTTTTCAATGCGTGTTACACATACATTGGACGTAACATGACAGTATATGGAGAACCGTTAGAGTCTTGGGTTCGTAGTAAAGGTGAGCGCCACTGGCCGTTTCTGTCCCACATGGCTGGGCTGTGCTGCGCTGAATGTCTGACAGCGGCAGGCTGAGCGGACGCCCCGTCTCGGTGATGCTCCAGGCCGCCCTGTAAGCCGCCTCCGCCTCCCCTCCGCCGCAGATCCGGCAGATGGACGGCTCGGCGCTCACCACCTCGTTCGCCGCCAAGGAAGCGCTGGCGGCCGTGCGGCTGTACGTGCAGATGAACCGCACCGACGGCTCCGGCGAGTTCACGCTCGGCACGGCCTTTCCGCGGCGCGTCTTCACGGCCGAAGACTACGAGAAGCCGCTCGACTCGCTCGGTCAGTGGGTGCGGCGCGTCGGCCGCTGGCGTGGGGATGCGGGCTCGATTCCCGCCGCGGCGAACTTTTACTGCTCCCGGCGTGCGTCGCTGGTGACTGAGCTGTACACAGCCTGAACAGTTACACATGGCTGTGAGGAGCAATACCAAGAGAAATGATGCGGCCAGCATTGCAGGGGTGAGACCCGTGTGCTAAGCCGGTGGGCGATCGTTTTATTAAGGAATAGTCCCATTGTCTTATGTTCCCCAGAGCGAGTGCAAAAATGCGATGTCGTGAGTTCAGAAGCCCAACGAGCCCGAACACCGCAAGTTTTGACGCTTTCCTTGTGGGTTTCAGTTGTAAAGAAGTAGGCTTAAACGCCTTAATAATAAACACAAAATAGTATCAGCTGGCACTCGTGAAGCTCGCATATATTTCAGAATGATTATTGCAGCACAAATGCAGAACCCAAAGAGAACTAAAGTAGCATGTGAGTTAGAGCTGGGAGTGGTATTTCAGGAGGCTAAGACTAGTGAATGCTAATTTTCGATTTTTACCAGCATCAACTGGCAGAAACTCAAGGAACAATAATCTTTCCTTTGTATTAGTCGCTATGAAATTGTATTAAGTTTCCTTCGTAGACGGGGACACAACAACAATTCACTTACACCATAGCGGCATCATAAGAAAGTGTTAGCTGTAACAGCTATTGGCTACATATGTCCCCTGATACTGCCAATGAATTTGCCTTATGTGATGCATCACTGTTCTCAAAGGGAGTGTGCAGGCAGCCACCACCATTAGGTGGCTGTGAACGCACTGTACAATGTGCAGAGCATTGCGCAAATTACGGCGATGAGCATTATCAGATCTAGTTCAGGTCCGCTGTGGTAAGCTGGTGGATGCCACATTTGCGATAGACATTCAATCGACCCTGGGGACCTCCGTTAGACAGTAGTCACTTGCCTCAATAGGACCTCCATTAGAGAGTAGTTACGTGCCTCAATAATCAGTACGCTAACGTCATACCTCTCTTTTCTATCATATATGGTACCATAAAGTACCCCCGATTTTAATGACATTATTTCACGCCTCACTGGTAATGAATGAACCCTTCTCCACGCACAGAGCATGCTCCACTGCGCTGATTCTGCCAGTGTAATCACGTCTTGTTGAAAAGTGCAATTGCCTTGTATTTTTGAGGGTGTTAGCTATTTTGTCTTATTGTTTAAATAAAATATCTTAATGGCATCAGATGTGCTGCGTCAAGTTAAATGGATCACTGAAGTTGAGTTCCGATTGATCGTCAGTTGTTGCTGGCAGTAGCCTCTGACAATCGGGTTTAACCGGTTTAATCTGACTGGCAGAGACCTCCGGTTCCCGCCAACTCTGATCAGAGCATGTTACAACTGTGTACACATTAAAGGCTCGGTTTCTAGTGGGCCGGATCTAGGGACGGAGCCAAGGGGAGAAGAGGTGGGGGGAGGGGGGCACATGTCCATGGCCCCCCTGAGCCAGTATGCTTATGGCAGATACTAGCAATTTCGCAGAAGTTCGGGAATATTGGCGTTTGCCTCCCCTTCCCCCCCCCCCCCCCATTGGGAAAACTGGCTACTTACCTGACGCAGTCCCTTGTTTGCCGCAACTCTGCCCGCCGGAGCGGGCTCTGCTCTCGTCACCGTCCGCAGTGTTCTTCAGTACGGCGCAGCCGGTGCCGGCTCCGACCTGGCGTGGGTGTGAACTGGTCGGCTCCGGCGGCTAACGGGCGCGCCTCGCCGCCAGGTCTGGTGCCGTCGGCCGTGCTCATCATCTCGCGGCCGGCGTGATGCCGTCCGGGACGCGCCGCCGCCGACGACGTCAGCTGGGGATTGGGCGCGGCCGGCGCCTCTGGCCCGGGGCGGCGGCCCGAGGCCGGGCGGAGACACGCCGAACCCGTGTCAGCTGCCGCGCGCCCAGATCCGTCAGCTTTTAAGTGCCCTTGCGTATGCGTTGAAGCATGCGTCGACTGACTGTACTTGTCCCGGGATGACCAAGTTCGATGACAAGTTGGACGCATGCCGCAAACAAGCGTTACATTTCCAGGAGCGTTGTGATTGCCGTGCTGTGGCTGTTCCGCGCTGCTGTGGAATGAAGCCGTCGAACCGTTGTGCTGCTGCCGAACACGACACAAACACAGACGACGACATTGGAACATTTAGTTGCTTGAGTCTCGAAATACAGGTAATATCAATCACGTGTTTGGTCCCATTCGTCCACGCCCTCCCGCCGCTGGGCCGACACTGGTCCGTCCCTCGCGGAGTGTCTGCATCCGACTCGGCGTCCTCCATCACCCTCACCTCTGCCCCTCAGCTCGCTCCCCGCCGAGCGACCGAATTGGCCTCTCGCGGCTGCGACTGGGCACCAGGAGCCGCCCCACGCCCGGCGTCTCGCGGTGGTAGGCGCTCCTGGCAGTGGTCCCCGACGGTAGCAGCCCCGGGGGCGCCCCCCCCCCCCCCCCCTGGCTCCGGCGGCCGTCGGCCCCGGAGGCGCTCCATGGTGGCGGCTCTACTTGGCGGCGGCGGAGGCCGTCTCGATGAACTGCGCCAGCGTCACGTCCTTGGCGCTGAGGCCGCCGACGTCGTGCGTCGACAGCGTCACCGTCACCCGGTTGTAGACGTTGAACCACTCCGGGTGGTGGTCCATCTTCTCCGCCTTCAGCGCCACCCGGCTCATGAAGCCGAACGCCTGCAGAGGACGGCGGCCCGGTCAGGACGAGGCTGGCTGGGCACGGCCACTGGGCCCTCTCCGGCCCCGCGAACCGGTGCTTTTCAAGAGCTGGTCTGTTGTGGGCTATTGGGGCGTGGTTTGCGTTTACCATTTGGGTGATTGTTAGAAGAACGGGCCGTGACCTTTTGGTGGACTTGACGTAAGGTGGACGTGGTAGCGGCATACGTTAACGAGCATTCCACGTCGCAAGGTTGCCGGTTGTTCAAAACTTATAGCACGAAGACGATAACCGCACTATATGTTCCTGTGTATGACACTGTGTATACACACGCCACTTGACTTAAACGTATAGTATCGAAACGCATAGTAGTTAAATGCACAGTATCAAAATTGTATGCGTAGGGTAAGCATTGATTCTTGAAAATTGTACTTTTACGGGCGGCACAGCACAACAATTTGGCGCCGTCTCATTCTACCTGCATGCTTTATCCCTGCTGACGAGAAGGTCCTAAGACATCGATACCTTAGCACTGAGTAGTGTAAAAATGACTATTCCGCTCATCGGTTACAGGGGCTCACCTGGTTGAAATCGGCGAAGACAAACTGCTTTTCAATGGCATCTCTGCCATCTGTTTTCTTCCACCCAGACTTCAGCAGAGGGTCCAGTTGTGATGTCCTTTCTTCGTCATTTAGCTTCATTCTCTTGGATTCAGGGCCCTGCAAGGTCAACACTGTATCAAGAAATAGTCATGTCCACCGGGGGTCGTGGCACATTTGTTTGCAAAGATAAGTTCAAGTCATTTGTGGCAACTGCAAAGTATTGTTTATTCTCTTCTCAGTTAGCTAGCGCTGATGCCGAAGCGAGACCCCATTTTAGCAGTGCGTCGTTTGTACGGGGGCGCTACCTGAGTGTTTTATGCTGCAAAGAGCATATGTATGTACAGTGTTTTTTCATTGTTTAGTTGTAGTTGTTAGCCAGACATGATAGCGTAAGAAGCACAGCTTACACGGTAGGGGGTGCCTTGACATGGATGCGGTGCGAGTTCACATTCCATGACATTAAACGAACATCTCGGCTTTCGCCGATCGCCCGCCCGTTGCCAACCACGTTGCAACTTGCAAATGTGTGTGAATGCGAGGCAGCGTATTAACGGCACTGGTGGCCCAACACCCAAGGCCTATGGCCGGACGGCTTTTAAACACGACCGAGGCAAAGTCCAGCTCCAGCTGCAGATCCTGTCGAGGGCTCGACTGTAAGGTTTGCCTGGCGTGGTCGGGCCGCCCACAAGCACGGCGCCAGGTCTGTGGCTGGTGCTCGCTCAACAACTGGGATTGAGAAGAAAGCTATCAATGGCATATCAGAAGTTCGAGCTGGAAAGGCGGATTGACAAGTAGGAAGAGGGCATTCGGACACGGGACAAGGGTGTAGTATTCCGAACGACAGGGCGCACGGGGTTTGTCACAGTGCCAACGTAGCATGTGATGTCGCACGCTGATTAAAGCAACAAGTTTCGCAGACGGCCCATATTGTGAAAGGTAGAGAGGGTATGCGACACCGCATGCTAACGACCCTGGTGACGCACTCTAGAAGCCTGCGTGAGTTGGCAGACGGCCTCGCGTGGAACCACACTGCTTGCGAGAGTTCTCAACTACGATCTATCGACTACGATCAACTACTTCTATGGTCAGGTCCAGACGGGCGTGAGAGCCGAGTCAGCTGTACTCACGGCCGGTGACTACACTTTCATAACGCGTTAAGTCACAATGCGCTTCACATTAAAGTCTAGTCAGGCAGTTGCCAGCGCGCAGCGCTGCACCTCACCGTCAAGGTCGCCCGTGTCCGTCTGCGGCTCAGGCGAGCAGCGACGCCGACCGGGGCGCTCCCTACCGGGATGAAATCGATAGCAACCGGCCGGGCTGGTCGGCCCAAACAAGTATTCATAGAGATGGGCAGCATGCATACCAGGGGTTGGTACTTACGGCATATCCGAGGGCACGTCACGTACGCGGCGTGGCTGCCAGCCGGTGATACGTGTGCGGTATCGGTGTACCAACTGTCAACCCTGGCACCGGCTGCAATGTTTTTGTATCTTTTTTTAAAGGTGGAATGGGCGGCTTCGGTGCTTAATTTGTTTAGCGTTCTATCTTGACACATTCGGTTTGCTTCCGTTTAAGTTATATTTGATTCGATTATGTTTGTTTATTCCTTAGAATTGTGCATAGTTCTGTATAATTATACACTCGGTGCGTACAGATACTTACAGCAGGAAGTGTAATTTTGGTCTCGCATTCCGTGTCTCAATATCATGACCATCTCCAATGCCGTATCATGGTGGCTCCACTGCGACCCGCTTTATCAGTGCACACTCTTTATGGTCCAACGTCTCAGACAAAAACCCGTTCCCTGTAAACAAAAACTGCGCGCTGTCATACAAACACGTTTAAACATTCCCGAGTCGTCCTTATACGGAGGGCTTATTTTCCCTCTGACTGCCTCCTCTGTCAAAGACTGATGCCGGGCCCACGAGCCATCCCCGCGTTCACCACTCCGCTGATCTTTCACGTCCGGCCCCGGGCTGCACTACTGCGTCGTGCGAGGCTCCCGCACTGCCGCGGCGGCACTTACACTGGGGCACGCCGGCCTGGAGGCCGCCGCGCGCCGAGCACCACTCTCCGCCATGAGGAGGGGCAGCCACGACACCGCCCGCAGCAGTCTCATGGCTGCGGGCTAGCGGTGGGCCCGTTCTGCGCAGCGAGGCACCGCGCGGTGACGCAGGCCCGTGGCCAAACTCGCGCGCCGAGGGCGAGCTTGGCTCGCGGTGGTCACGGTTGTCCAGCCGGGGTGCGCGCCGCACTGCACTGAAGCGGCGGACCGACGGCTAACCCAGCGCTCGCCGGCTGACCGGCCGCCGACTGAGGTGATGAAAGCCGTCGCCGCCGGCCGTGGCCGGCCACGTAACGCTGATGGGGAAGGGGAGGGGGCGGCACCGCCAGGTGGGCGAAACGCAGCGGCGCTAGCGAAGGTCACGGGTCGGGGCTGCCGGCTGACGGGTCATCTGCGGTCACCGCAAGCCTTGCAGTGAAGCCGTTTGTGTAACGGCCGCTAACGCTACCCGCGCCGTGTTTCGTCGAGTGTTGAACACAAACAGGTAGGACGGGTCCAGCACGTCGCGTGGACAAAATGCCGCCGCAAGCGGCATCGGGCAGTGGAAACTTACCATACGTGCGGGCGGGCCGGTGCGAGGTGCGCGGCGCTGGCGGACCGGACTGGACCGGCCGGGAGATGGGACTTAGATACGCTGGGAGGCCACCGCGCGTACAAGCCAACTGAAAAGCGTGAGGAGGCTCGGGACGGAGCTGGCCGGCCGCGCTGTGGCGCCCCCGGCAAGGCCACGTAGCTGTAGTGCCGAAAAGCGGCGACAGGCGGCGGCATAATTTTGACTCGTGATCTAAGTTATTTTGTTATTAACATCCTTTTTGTCTTGGCGCGATATTTATGACTTAGCGTTACGGAGAAAAACAGCCAACTTCAAAGTTTTTGCTTGCATGGTAAGAAAGAAAAAAGAAACCTTTCTGCACTTCTTTCCACGATCTCTGGTACGAGAGCGGAAACGAGCACTTAAAACTTTGGAAAATTTGGCATTACGTTCATGGTGCGACGTGGAAAGAAGAACAATAACTGTATGATCCCCAACTTTGCATCCGAGCAGTGGATAACCACTGTTTATCTCTTATCGCGTTTTCATGCCTTTCGCGCTAGGCCGCCTTTAAAGCAACAATTCTGCCAAAAATATGGAAGTATGCATGCATGAATACCACATTCGACCGTTTTCCTTGCAGAATACAGACCCATTGCTTTTCACTTCGCTCCACCAAATGTCCGTGGCGGTAAGAAATAGATTTGGGAGTATTTGGTAGCAAGGCACTGTATCCTGGCGGCAAAACTGAAATTCATGTGCGCCAGTTATTTCAGGTCGGTTACAGTTTATCTAACTGACGCAAATCGAAGGCGACGCAAACCGAGGTTTGAGCGTTGTTGTATGCCTATTTTACATTAGTTGAACTACGTTGAACATTTGATTTAAGCTAAGCTGTCTGTCGAGCCCAATCTTACCTTACCTTATATTACCTTGTAATGATCGGGAATTATACAATGCCACTAGGGCTGTTGGTCCCGGTCCTCGTAGCCAAGCAGTTTGAAACATATGACAAACAATCTTAGGTCATTTGATCGACAGGTTATTCATACAGGGACAGGCAGGCACTCAGTCAGGTGCAGGTTCTTATTCAGTTGAGGCTCCAGCCCCGCCCCCCCCCCCCCCTCTGTCTGAGAAGAAGGTGAGCTTAGTCGATGGATGAATCAGATTTTGGCTGTTCTTGGGCAGGTTTTACTGTTTTTCACTCTTCAATCCCCTGGCTAATTTTGCATCTGACACCCCATACTCTAAAGAACTTTAACTAAAGCAATTAGGTTATGCAATCTCCAATTTTGGTATGATTGTACAACACAGTGTTGCACAATCCATCATTAAAACTTGTGATGTTTACAGAAGACTGCAGGTTCTGTTCTCCATCACTGTGTTTGGCTGCAAAGTGTGAGAGAATTATCATTGTCCATCTTAAGTTTGTTTACATGGTCACTATAGATGGATATTCTTGTGTTACTGGTATCTTATGAAAATGGTTTTGCAAAATCTTACAAAAATGATGGAAAATTTAAAATCAGTTGTGTGCGATAAAGACACACATAAGCTAAATGTGCTCTAAGAAGGGGTGTGCATTGCTGGTTCATACCATGCCATCCTCTTTTACCATTTTTTGCTTTACACTTGCACTTTTGCAAGGCTTTGATATTTATATTTGTCAAGCGGAAGGCAAGTATGGCTTGTCTTTTCTTCATAATGCAGTAATTTAATTGAAGTCATGGCTAGATATTGCAGACAAAAAGGACAGTTTCTCAGCTAGTAAAAGCTTTTTGTTGAAGTAAATAATTTGTTTGACCACCATTTCATTTAGCTTGACCTTTTTCAGCATTTTGTTATAATCTGCATATAAGAATCTTTACTTTCTGTGTTGTACAGGATCACAGATCAAGACTGGCCAAGCTATAAACAAATAAGCAGTACCATGTCAGCTGCTGATTTTGTGCAACTGTTGAATGAGGTCGGTTATCCTCATGCATCAAAATTGAACCCATCTGACTGGGACTGGATGTTTGAGGTGAGTCATGCCATACCACGCTACTGTCGCCACTGATTGGTATGGAAAAACATTAACATTACTCCAAGGCTGATTAAGGCATGGAAGGTCCAGAAGGGTCAGGCTGTCAAGATTCTTTGCTTAAGAAGTCATGTTTTACCTGCTTCCAAACACCAAACAAAAGCAAACAAATGTCTGCCTGCTCACCACCACACATTGAAAAGCTGTTTATCACCATCATCATTGAACTCTGTTGAAGCCCGTTGTCCATTTGACACCAGCCCCACTACCGCCGCAGCTGGGTGGCGGCGCTGGCGCGTTCCTCTGCTGGCTGTGCCGTAATGTGGCGGCCGAGAGCGTGGTGACCGAGGTCGAGCGGGCCGCCTACACGCGCCTGAAGGAGGCCGAGGGGGTGCTGGAAGGCACGCGCCTGGACGAGGCGCTGGCCGCCCAAGAGGAGGCGCAGGGCGACCTGCAGCTGGAGGTGCAGCAGCTGACTGCTGACCTGGCCGTGCAGCAGGCGCGACTGGACCGGCTTCGGCGCACCCGTGACCAGCTCTGGTGAGACCGCACGGTCGGCGGGTGTGCGGACGGCTCGGACGCTCGGGGGGGGGGGGGGGTTATGTGCGTATTTGGCATTAAATGTTGGCGGCGACTTCCTGTCCTTGGTGATGAATCGGTTTGAATAACCAGCTGGTTTTGCCAGCCTGTGAGATTTGCGCCCTCGAAATAAAATACAATATGAACAGTGAGCAGGTTGGCTTGAGAATGCCAATTACATACTAGTAAGACATTGCTTTGGTAGGTTAGATGCAAAAGTAATCTGTGGGTCGAAGCTTCAGTATCAGCTGTTTTGCCAATACTGCGCTTGTAGCATTTATCACCTGTACCACTGTACCGCGATCTACAGTGTAACCTGCCACCCGTCCGCCATTGCCTGCAGCAACGAGAACCTCAGCCTGTCCATGGAGCTGAACCAGCTGTCTGAGGGCCAGACGGCGGCGCGCGCTGTCCGCCACCGGCTGCGCCAGCGACTGGCCGGCGACGAGCTGGCACTGGCCGACGGCCGCGGCCGGCTGGCGTCCGCCGCGCGCCAGCTGACCGGCCAGCTGACGGAGGCTCGCGGCGCGCTGCTCAGCCAAACGCCGCTCGACGGCGTCGAGGCGACCGAGCAGCGCGTCAGCGAGCGGCTAGCGGAGCTGGCGCGGCGCGCCTTCAGCGCGGCGCAGCGCGGCGCCGGCGACTGCAGCCTGCTGGACCTGCGGCCGGCGCGGCTGACGGCGGACGCGGCGCACGGCCGCCTCGCCGCGCAGCTCACGCGGCTCGAGCGCGCGCTGCCAGTCGCCAAGCGCGGCGCGCAGGCGGCCGCCGCCGAGGCGGCCGGCCTGCGCGAGGCCGTGCAGACGGCGCGTCGTCTGCTGGACGAGCCGGCGCGGCGCACGGCGGCGGCGGCGCGCCCGCCGCCCGCGCCGCCCGCCGGCGAGGCCGAGCTGGAGCGCGCGCTGGCCACCGCCGCCGAGCGTTACGTGCAGGGCATCCTGGCGCGCGCCTGCGTCGGCGACCACGCGCTCAAGGTGGCGCGCCAGGAGTCTGCGCTGGAGCGTCAGGCGGAGGCGCGCGCTGCTGCCGTGCAGCAGCTGGCGCGGTTGGAGTGGCTGCGCCGTGCCGTGGCGGCCGAGGGCGGCGCGGTGGCAGCCGCCGGCGACGCGCTCACCGCCGCCGAAGGCCAGGCTGCCGACCGACTGCGCAAGCTGACAGCCAGGCTGGTGAGTTGTGGCTGACTGTCGGAGCGGGTGGTCCGCTGTGGCTGACTGTCGGACCGGGTGGTCCGCTGTGGCTGACTGTCGGACCGGGTGGTCCGCTGGGGCTGACTGTCGGACCGGGTGGTCCGCAGCCGGGACGGCGTGATGTTGGGTGTGGTGCAGCTGTGCAGTGCAATTCAATGGTGTGTCGTTACTGGTCGCCCTCGCGTGGTATTCTTCGTTTGATTCCACATGGCCACCGAGTTACTACGCATGGATAAACGGTCAGGTTGGTAGTGATATCTTCATGGAATGCTGCTTAATGAAGGTATTTAGTCTACTGCAATCTGCTCTGTGAATTATGGGAATGATCGACCTTTTGCCACCGCCTATAGTTGTTGACATGGTGAGCGGCATGACCCAGGCCGTGCCAAAAATTGCCACCATAGCGTTTGCCATGCCGCATGTGATGTCTTCATTTGTCTCCCACGTATTCCTAAAACAGTCGCCTGTGTATTGCGTACTATTTCTCTTCGCCCGTCTAACCTGTGCCCTCGGCGCCGACAGCGTCTGATGGAGCAGGAGGCGCAGCAGGCCGCCCCGCCAGAGGAGCAAGAGGACGCAGCGGCCGCGCTGCTCGACTCGCTCTCGCCGGCGCCGGGGCCGTGCCCGGCGCCGGCCGAGCGGCGCGCCGCGCTAGCCGAGCAGTTGGCGGTGCAGTGGCGCCACCTGCGCACCGGGCGCCGGCTGGAGGCGGCGTTGGGCCGCAGCGGCGTGGCGGCGCGCAGTGCCCGACTGGAGGAGGCCGTGCGCGGCGTGCAGCCCGAGCTGAAGGCGCTCGTGCGCCAGTGGGAAGAGCGCCGCGGCCCGCGCCGGCCGCAGGACACGCTCTGGGTGCTTATGATGACGGCGCCGGCGCGCCTGGAGGCGCTGGTGCGCGAGGCGGAGCGCGCTGCCGCCGAGGGCCGCGCCAGCGCTGCTGAGTGATCCAGCCGGCGCCGCCGCCAGCGGAGGCGTGGAGGGACGTTGTGAGATGGGGAGATGGTATTTTCCGGACCCACGTGGATATCAGCTGTCGGCCCTCCCGGTGCGACGGATACCGGGAGGCCATGGGACGACGCTGTGTCGCCCTGCCGGGTACAGCGGCCGATGAACACCGGGAGGCCATGGGACAGCGCTGTGTCGCCCTGCCGGGTACAGTCATGGGACAGCGCTTTGTCGCCCTGCCGGGTACCGCAGCCGATCGCGAATGAGTACACGTCGCGATGGCGTAGAAGGGAAGTGCGCGCCAACGGGCGTGCGCTTTACGCTGTGGAGTGCGCGGTTTAGACGTCGATAGTTGAATCGGATGTGGAAGGGCCAGCTCCCGCGATGTCCGTGACGCTGGGCTTGCCTCGACGGTCGGAATTCCTTCTCGGGCCGAATCGCTTATGTCGCGTGGCCGGTGAGTTTGACGCAATGCGTAGGCTGAGCACCAGCGAAACTACTGCCTTAGAAAGCCGCTGAGAAAGGCGTGGTAATGCAACGAGCTTTTGGAGGTGTTGAATGTGAAGATGTGGTGTTCCGTTCGGTCTTTAAGTTGGCGTGCTTTAACCTCGCTGGTGTGACTGTCGTGCTAATATAATTGTTAAGGTGAATTTACTGAAGTTTTTGCGCATCAGTTTGTGTCGGCTAGTTGTTCCTGCTGCTTATTTCGAGACATCGCCATCTATCTAATAAGGTCCTAAACTGGCAAGGACGAACTGACGGTCGATTTCTTTTGCTTGAACCGTTTGACTTCGTTTTCTTCCATGTACTCTTTGACCCATACAATGCACATTTGCTTATGCTCTGAACATTTAGATGCTTGGAAAACAGGCTGCGATTTTACGTCTGCTACTTGGCGCTTTTCGTGGCATTTCGACGCCGTTGGAAATAGTGCCGTTTAACCGGCTAGCGGAGCTCATCAGCCCTGGAGCCCGCGCCGCAAATCAAGCCTCATCCTGGCGTCGGTAGATGTCACCAGTGCCGTGCGTGTTTGCTCTCTGAGCTAACAGACGGATACTCTGCCATGCTTGTCCCAGCGCCAGATCGTTGAGCGTTGCAGCTTTCTTACCACTCGCCGTTGGTAACCACAAAACTTTCGCTCCTCCGATGCTTAATGCATCGCGGCATACTCGCAACAGCCGCCTGGCTACATGCACGCTCTCGCTTGGCAGCACTTACTCACCATGTGGCCGGGCGTGGATGGAGCAAAATTAGCACCCGGAACGCGTCCAGCCCCGTCTGCGACAGTGCGCAGCCTCGTAGCCGTGGTTCCCAGCTATCCTGCTGCTGCTCAAGGCGGCGCCGTTCGGGGCCTGGCCCGGCTCGGAGCTCGCTCCGTGCCAGGTTAGAGCGGCTGGCCCGACTCGGAGTCCGCGCCGACCTCAGGTCAGCCCGTCAGTCGTGTCACGATACGGAAATGAGGTCCCAGCTGGTACCGAGCTGGGGATCGGACGTCCAGCCTTGCAGCCTGACGGCAAACATGAGAAGTCGGGCTCGTTTCGTGAAAGCGACCAGAGGGTGACGTGCGCTCGCTGAAATCAGCAACTTCGGAAACGGGAAACACGTGACCTACTGATCACCTGAATACGTGCTGAAGTAATTAACTACATGACTTTTCTCATAGCGATAAGATTCAGTACATTTCCGGGCTGTTAAGCCTTCTGGATGTAACCGGAGGGGATGAGTGCGACGGCGGCGGCGCATCAGCAAATCACGGCGCCTCATTCACATGACTTCGAGGGGCCTCGGCTCGTACGCCCCAATAATGAGGTGTTCATAGGAACGGTCATCCAGACATCCCAGCGCTGAGCGTTTGACACGCTTCCTTCTGGGTGGCCGGCGTAAGTAATCGTCTGGACGCACGAGCGTCACACACCACACCGTAGGCTCGGCGTCGTCCGGAGCACTGAGACCGGTGTCCAGCTGTAACCTCGCCCAGACAGGCAGGATGCCGGTAATGCAGTGGTCAAGTTGCGCGTCTGGAAAATCAGAAGCACGGGCTTGATTCCTCGTGGCGCCCGCTCCGTCTGTCAGAATGAGAGGAAGGTGGTGTCATACAGCTTCAACAGCAGAATGCGGAGTAAAGGTTGAATGACAACATCGACCAAACAGAAAGCCGCGTAGGGAGCTATCTGGTAAAACAGCTACAGGACGTGCTGACTGATTGCACAAGTAGCCAGGTGGTGCCCAGAATATTTGTGTATCCACCCTGGGCCATTATCCGGTGGCACTAACTTTCATTTACAACTTTTATTGTCAAGCGCAAAACCATTTTGAGCTTAAATTGGCGGGGAAATGAACGACGTGATAACGAGTCCCATTGGGCCAAACCAGGCATGACGCGGCTGCGACGAGCCGCGTCTAATTCGCAACTACGGCGGCAGTCCACACCGGCCTCAATCAAACGCTCTTCAAGCCGCCGCGGTCCCCGACGCTCCGCTTCTGGTCGGACGCGAGCGGCACAGCTGGCGTCCGCGGCCGGCGCTGATTGGTGTCAGCTCGCGCCTGAACCGCCTCCGATCAGGCCGGCTGGCACACATCACCGCCGCGCGCGCGCGTGCCGTTCCTTTCACGCCCATCCGAGCGGCGCGCCGTGGCGGCACCCGTTCGCGCGCGCCGGCGGCGGCCGCATGCAAATGCGGCGCGCGGTCACCCGGTGACCCGCGACGGTGGCGCCGCGGTGCGGCGTGTCCCACATCGGCGCCGGATGTGGGTCAGACGCCGGCGGCGCGTACCGGGCCGCCAGGGAAAGTCAATGGCCTCTGGTCCGCGGCCTCATCTCGCGAGATGGAGGCAGCTGCGACCGCGCCGGGCGCTGGGAACGGTGTCCCGGGTGGTGCGGCCAGGCGCCGGGGCACGGATGACGCCGGCCGACCACGAGGCGCGAGTGCCTGGAAGTTAGGACTGTCCACGTCCGAAAGTGACAGCCCTGCTCTGCGTATGATGGAGCTCAGCTGCTGCGGGCTTACGCGAAAGAGGCAAAGATAGATAAATTGTGATTTATTTTCCTCGAGTCTCCAGCCGCAGGTGCTACAGCTACAGCAGCTGACAAAACCGACGCACTCCCGCCGTGTCCGTTGAGAGCCTAACCGCAACGTAGTATTTGAGCCTCATTGTTTCCAAGCCTTAGAAATGCCAGCGAAGGCTGAACGGCGCGGCTGCTGACGCATCGGGCTCGCCCTCCTTAAAAGAAATATGGTATGGCGTGCCCGCCACTTAGCAGGATACGCTTCCTTCCATCACGCATGGGACTGGAGGCCGTTTAGTCAACAATTAACACGACTGAGATGGCCTAAGAAGGAATGATCGCCTAGAACGCCCTTCATAATCAACACGCATACTCATACATCACGCTCCACAGCACGCATCGGGCAAACTACCTATAAATACAACCACTCTTTTCTTGTACTCTCCGCTTGCAAGACACAGCAGCAGCAGATGTTCGCTTCGTTCACAAGCAGTCTCAGGTGCACCACGAGGCGGCACTTATTTCGTTTGGCCCCGAATCAATTTCACTGCCTACAGAGAACTGACAGTTCGTCGACACTTTTCGAGCGTATTCACAACGAGGCTACCCCGGCGATTTCTTCCGCCGGCCGCTCCCACGTTACTTCGACGTGTCCTTCGGCGCGTGGCGACTCGGCTGATTGAAATGGGACACGCGCGTCCCACGAAAGGTCTGTGCACGGGAACGCGTGCACTGACGCTTCCCGTGCCCGGATCTCGTCCCACACGTGCCTGATATCACAGTCTGGACACGAGGATCGCAACCACGCCGGGTTATGGACGTCTACTGCGCCGGCATGCGCGTCGGCACGATTTTCGGCTGGCTTGTGGGGTGCGCGACCATCTCGGGCGGCGGCAGCCTCTCCTGGAACTGCTCCAACGCCTGCACGTACTCGAACGGGTGTGACACCTCGGCGCGGTCCGAGCGTTCCTCGGTGGACTTCTGGCGCTTGGTGAAGAAGACGGGCCGGGCGGCGGCGGCCGGCGCCGGGCCGGACCTGCGCACGGACGGCACGAACGGCGGCCGGTCGGCGGCCGGCAGCGCGCCGAACAGCCCGGCCAGAGCCGGCACGTTGCGGAAGGCGGACGGCGGCCGCAGCGGCTGGCCATCCGCGTCGGTCACGGCCACCTGCTCAGAGGCGCTCGCCGCCAGCGGGTCGTTGTCGGGCGGCGGCGCAAAGCCGTACGGGTCGGCAGGCGGGCGCCGCTCCGGCGCGCCGCCGCTGCCAGCCGCCGCCGACGACGCTGACGCCACTGCCGCCGCCGCCGCTGCCGCCGAAGAGGCCCGTCAGCAGGCTGACCGGCGATGGCGCCGGCCGCGGCGTCTCCGGCTGCTCTTTGGGTCTGTCGCCGAACAGGCTGGAGAGCAAGCCGGTCATCCAGGAGGAGGCGACGCCGGGCCGGGGCCGCGGCGGCCGCGCGCCGCCCTGCGGGCCCGTAGCCGGCGGACCCGCCTCCGGGCGGCCAGGCGCCGGCCGCGCTGGTTCCGGTCGACCCTGCTCTGGCTCCGGTCGCGACTCCTCCGGTCCCGGTCGGCTCGGCTGCGGGCGTGCGGGTGACGGCTGCTGGCGCACCGCTGCTGTCGGTGGGGACGGCTGGAACGACAGCTTTACCGCCGGAGGCGGCGACGGCGGCGGCGGCGCGGGATGCGCCACGGAGTGAACCGCGTTCACGGGCGCCGAGGCCGGCTGGAAGGCGTGCACGGGCGGCGGCGCCGGCTCGTACTCGGGCACGCCGTACGACTCGGCGTCGAACTCGAGCGGCGCCGGTGCGACGGCCGGCTCGAACGGTCGGCGCGGGTCGATCGCCCCGCCGTACGTCAGGTCCGCCGACGCCGCCAGCTCGTCGTAGTACTCGAGCCCACCTTCTCCGGACGCCTCGTAGTCGATCTGCTCCATCGCGTCCACCCCGCCTTCTTGGACGCCGGCCTCCGCAGTCAAAATCTTCTCCGGCGCGCTGGCCGCGGTACGGGACGTCGTCGATGGCGGCGACAGCGTGGTCGCGGTGCTGGGCTGAACGGTGCGGGGCGGCGGCGCGGTCGTTGTCGGCGTCGGCTTGGTCGCCGCTGTGGTGGGCCTAGTCGTCGGTGCGGACGTCGTCGTCTTCGGCTCGCTCTTCACCGTGTTCTCGATGCGGATCGGGTAGATGGGCTTCTTGAACTTCTTCCCCGGCTTCTTCAAGCCACTCTTGTCGCCCACGTTGATGCCGAACATTTTTATCTTGGAGTAGCCGCTCTGGTGCACGTAGGGGGCCTTGGAGGCCGACTGCGCCTGCTCCACAGGGAACGGCGCCGGCGCCGGGTTGTACCAGGGGCTGTCCAGTCGCACGGGCGCCCGCGGACGCGTCGGCCGCGGCGCCGGCGTGGTGGCCGCGCTGCTAGACGTGCGAGGTGTCGTCCCTCGCACGGTCGACGGCCGCGAAGGCCTCGGTGGCCGCGGGCGCCGCGTCGGCCGCCGCTCGGCGCTGATGAGCCGGTTTACGAGCTTGCGGCGGTCCTCGGACGTCGTCACCGGTCGGCGCGTGGTCGCCGGTCGCCGCGTGGTCGCCGGTCGCCGTGTGATCCCCGGTCGCCGCGTGGTCGCCGGTCGCCGCGTAGTCGTGCGCCGGAAGAGTGACGGCCGCGGTCGCTGTGGTCGCGACGAGAAGCGGTTGAGGTCGGGCCGCGGACGCTTGCTCAGCAGGCTGGCGAGCGGCACACGCGATCGATCATCTCCGGGTGGGCTCCTCTCGGTGGACGGCCGGCGCTGCTCGGCGGTCGTCGTCCGCTCTGTCGTCGTCACGCGACGCGTGGTGGTCGTTGGCTGGCGCCGCCGCGTTGTCGTCGTCGCCTTCGTGGTGGTCTCGGCCGGGGTGGTCCGCGCGGATGTGGAGGTCTCGGCGCGCTCCGTGGCGGCGACGGTGGTGGTGGTGGTCGTCGTCGTCGTTGTTGCGGCGGTGGACTGGGTGGCCGCAGCAGTGGACGTGGCCGCGGCGGTGGACGTGGTCGCGGCAGTGGACGTGGTCGCGGTGGCGGTGGACGGCCCAGGCGTCCCCTCAGTGCTCGGCGGCGGACGGCGTGAGACGTCCGGCCGCGCGCGTCGGCTCGGCGGCGGCGGCCGGCGACGCGTCGTCACCTCCACACGCTCGGTGGTCGTGCTGACCTCCGGCGGCGGACGAATCGTCAGCCGCTTCGGAGGCGTGGTCTCCACAAGCGGTGACTCGACGAGCGACACCGGCCGAACGAACGTCTGCTCCGCGCCCGGCGGCGGCGGGAACCGGACGAACGCCTCCGGCAGTGCCTCCTGCTCCGTCGCCGGCTCCGGCTCCCGCTTGGCGCCGAACGTGGGCGCCTGCGGCTCTGAGCTCGGCTGCGGCTGCTGCTGCGGCTGCGAGAAGACCTGAGGACGCGGTTGCTCCACCCTGACCGGTGGCTGGAAGCGCTGCTCCTCCGTGAAGCTCGGCTGCTCCTGGAAGTTCTGCTGGCCCTCGAACGTCGGCTGCTCGTCAAACCGCTCCTGCTCCTGGAAGCCCTGCGGCTCCTGGAAGCTCGGCCGCTCCTCGTAGCGCTCCTCGTCAAATCCGCCCTCTTGGAAGGTGTCCCGCTGCGGCACAAACTCCCTCTGCGGCTCGAAGTTGCTCTGGCCGGCGAAGAGACGCGTCGGCTCCGCCTCCTCCTCGTAGCCAGGACCGAACTCCTGGCGTCGCTCGTCGGCCGGCGCGCCGAACTGCGGGCCTGAGATGTAGCTGAGCCCGCCGCCGGGCCGCGGCGGGCGCAGCTGCGTCTGCGGCGCCGGCCGCCGCCGGAACTGGAAGAACGGCGCGCCGAGCGGACCGTCGCGACGGCGGGTCGCCTCGTTCAGCTGCACGACGCGCACGGGCGGGTTGCGCGTGCGGATGGGCCAGCCGCCGCGGTGCGCCGGCTCGCGGGCCAGCACCGGCGGCGCGTACTGGAAGGTCGGGTCGTTCTTAAGCGGGTCGCCCGGCCCGATGGGCTGCCAGTCGTTGAAGTCGGGACTCGGGAAGGCCGCCCGCTGGTGCGTGCCTGCCGGAGAGGACAGCGTCAGTGGCGGTGGTAGGTGGCGGCTGTTGGTGACGCCCGCCACTTGACGGCGGACCCCGCCAGCTGATGGTAGCATTCGCCAGCTGATGGTGGTCTCTTGACTGACTGGTCATGTCACGTCAGCCGACCTTGCCTAACAGCTTCGTTCTTCTAGCTAAACATGGACATGCCGGTTTTGTACTGGGATGGTGGAGTTCTCGGAATATTGGATTGGAATAAACTGTTAGACTGAAAAACGTCGGTAAAGGAGCCCGCAAAAGTAAGCATATATATATATATATACATATACATATATATATATATATATATATATATATATATATATGTACATATACACGCATATATTTACTATATATATATAAAAATATATATATATATATATATATATATATATATATAGATAGATAGATAGATAGATAGATAGATAGATAGATAGATAGATAGATAGATAGATAATGCGTATCATTACTGTAAGGCACCCTTGCAAATGATTGGCGTGTTTGTGTCCAAGACTCGGAGCGAAATGTAACCCCTTCCAATTCTATTCTGTGATCTTCCGCCTTACCTCTGTTCGGAGCCCTGTGCCATAAGCCCTGAGCTTCGGGCACCGCTGCCGACGCCGCTATGACCGCTGCCAGTAGCAGCAGCTGCCGCGTGCTGTGCCTCATTGCCCCTGGAAAAGAGCACGGCATGTCTGAGAGCCTGTAACGTAAGCTCGCGCAGTGCGTCACGTGGCGTCACGCGTGGACGCCCGCGAGTACGAACGTTTCCTGGTGTTGGACCGTGACGCTGCAACGGCACGTAAACCAGGGCTCGGCTTGCTTCGCCATGTTACTTTTTTATTTTCCTATTTAAGATCATTCAGAATATTTAAAGGAAATATCCAGGAAGCAAAAAGCACACACTGCAACTTAAGGTTTTGTGTCGGATAACCCCAAAGACAAAATGCCGCCAAATAGGAATTTTCGACAGTTTATCGAAATATGTGTGGTAAGGTGCATCATGGCTGCTTGCGTACATTATGCGTGTTTTCTTGCGCACGATGATTATATTTGGCGGAAGCATAAGCTCAGTGCCCGGGAAAAGTGCTTAATACGTTCGGTGGGATACTTCCCCTAAACATTCTGAGTGATCTTAGATGGAAAAACATCATTTAAACCGCAGCACTGCTTGTCCATACTGTGATTCGCGACCCAAAGTTTTTCATAATCTCCCACACGTGATCACACCGCGTTGCGGGGATCGTCAAGACAAAACCATGTGCTTTTTGCGAAACCAGGAAGACATCGTTTCAACGTACGTGATTGATTTGTTCCGCAGGTAACCCGCTCAGATAGCTTTTTGAACCGGGCTTGCACCGTTTGTAAAAGCACTGGGACTCGATGCGTCCTGGGACTGATCTTCTCGGTCAAACGGAGAATGATTTCCGGATGTCATGTAAAAACATCCCATTAAAAATAAACGTGTATCTATTGTTTCCTGCTTAAGTAAATGAAAACAGAAAGTACGCCAGTTCAAGCACACTGTTGCGAAATCCTAAGAGAGACTGCTGTCTCCTGTCCATATTTTGGTGATCACGCTTTTTCATGCTACACATGTGACAGCCAAATCGTTATCGCGGGCCCACTTTCTAAATGGCCCAATCCAGCTAACACTGGATGGCCAGCATCTTGTTAGAAACTCGACCACTCGCCTCTTACCACGTGCCTCAACGTGCCAGCTACGACATGACATCACTAATAGCTGCTTCGTGATAACAGCACGTGTCACCACCAGAAGAACCCACCCTGTGATCGGCCAGATTACCTACGGTTTGTCTCTTTCACCAACTTCGGTTATCAGACTCGAGCTGGCTTACAATCTTGATAGAAAAGAGAGTGAACTGGACCAGTCACCGTCCCTACCAGAACTTTTATGAAAGCATGGCATTTCAGTCATAATTGGGGGAAACTTGCCGCCGGATTTAATGAAATCAGTATCATGCCTTCGTGCCGTGTCCACTGAAAGGCCTAGCTCCGAACGCGTTTCACCAAAAAACACCGAACATGAGCGTAGATCAGCTCTCCGGCACATTGCAATTCCGTCGTTGCTCATTAAACATGCGCTGTTTAAACATTTCTAGCGCCCGAGTGTTACCTCCTGCAGCTGCACCATTTCCTTTTCCGGGCCGGTTGCGTGCATCCACTCCACCTCTCTTCTTTTCTCTCCTCTTATCTGTCCTCTCCAGCTGCGCCGCCGCCTCCTCCGTCTCTCTCTCCTGTGCCGTCTCCGGGCCGTCTCGGGCTGCCCCGCTGCCTCCTCTCCTTCTCTCTCCTGTGCCGTCTCCGTGCCATCTCGAGCTGCCCCGCTGCCTCCGCTGCCTCTCCCTCCTGTGCCGTCTCCGTGCCATCTCGAGCTGCCCCGCCGCCTCCTCTCCTTCTCTCTCCCGTGCCGTCTCCGGACCATCTCGAGCTACCCCGCCGCCTCCTCTGCCTCTCTCTCCTGTGCCGTCTCCATGCCATCTCGAGCTGCCCCGCTGCCTCCTCTCCTTCTCTCTCCTGTGCCGTCTCCGGGCCATCTCGAGCTGCCCCGCCGCCTCCTCTGCCTCTCTCTCCCGTGCCGTCTCCGGGCCATCTCGAGCTGCCCCGCCGCCTCCTCTCCTTCTCTCTCCTGTGCCGTCTCCGGGCCATCTCGAGCTGCCCCGCCGCCTCCTCTCCTTCCCTCTCCCGTGCCGTCTCCGAGCCATCTCGAGCTGCCCCGCCGCCTCCTCTCCTTCTCTCTCCTGTGCCGTCTCCGGGCCATCTCGGGATGCCCCGCTGCCTCCTCTCCTTCTCTCTCCTGTGCCGTCTCCGAGCCATCTCGAGCTGCCCCGCCGCCTCCTCTGCCTCTCTCTCCTGTGCCGTCTCCGGGCCATCTCGAGCTGCCCCGCCGCCTCCTCTGCCTCTCTCTCCTGTGCCGTCTCCGGGCCACCTCGGTCCGCCCTCACCGCCCGCCGATGTGGCCCACTTATCGGGCGGCACGGTGCCGGATGCCGTCGGCCCGAGACCCGCGGAACTGGGCCGCCTCCTGCCGCCCGCCGTCCTCCGGAGTGCCCCCGAGACCCGCCGACCCGCCGGCCGCACCGCCCCGCATGACCGCACGCTGCTGTTTGGACGGCATCCCGGCCGATCAGGGGCTGCCCTCCCAGCCAGTTGTGCATCTACCCGCACACTTAACGCGTTTGATTTGGTGGCTTCAACCTACGTGTCCGAGGTGAGCGAGCGAATGTTCGTCATGTGTTGCGTTGATATTGCCGAACGGTTTGGCTCAGACGACGCACTTCGCCTTGTGCTTAATGATGGCTCGGAATGCGAGCGCGCAGTGATAAGTGCATCAAAAGAAAGAAGAAAACGAACAACGCTACGCGAGCCAACCTCCAACCACGTGTTTGGCCAGACGGTAGCTGCTGCCGGAGAAGACAGGCCTTTTTAGAATCTGCCTAGTACGTTGCATGGTGGCAATGCGATTGTTCTCATAATTCCTCGTGTCACTGCGATACCCAGGCAGCCAGCTTCCGTCAACTCAAGAAGCAATAACCAACATTGGTCTGGTCTTGCATAGAACACCAACTCCAGCCCATAAAGCGAGTCGATTAAAAATGTCACTTTCTGAATTGTGAATTGAAGCTGACCATCGTCTTTCTTTGAACCAAACCGTCGTCACGGTCCGGCCGAAGGACTCATTAAGCATCGACGTATCAAGGCACCAAGCTCGTGAGTGAGCTTGCCGCTGGCATCTTCCCTCTAAGGGTACAGCCGTTTAAACAGGCAAGCGCCTGATTTCGCTGCTGCGAAATAGATTCACACCCGAACTCACGGTACGTATAATTTTGGCCCTGCCTCAAAACATAATAGTACATGATGTAGTCGACACTGATTCCGACTCAGACACGCGAGGCATCCTACTCAGGCCATCACGGCACAGACATCAGACAGGAATGATTCGAGATGGTTGATTCCGATAACAACAATTTAGGAGTCAACGCTTCTCGGCAGTAAATATGCCGTGACCTAACATATATTCATAACAACAATGCAACGCATACATTTTGCGTTTTATTTCACGCTCGCAATTACTGTCATACACTTTAATGATTTTGGGGGCTCAGTGATGCTTTAAACATTTTTGAATTTAGTGGCATTATCTGTTACCTCGATAGTTGCAGAGAAAAATGAAACATCGACGGGGAGGCTGATCTGAAGCCGGCTTATGACCTGGCATAACGTCACCAGTGAACGGCCTCCCGTCCGACTCAAAGAAATTGATGACCACATGAACATGGAGAATGCTCTCGCGTAATGCTGATACTTGGCCGACCCTTTGGTTATTCCAGCCGAAGCAGTTTTTTCAGACTAGATCCAATCTGTCAGGTGAGTCGATTTAACTTTGGCTCACCAAAAAGTAGATTAATCTTGAATCCGATTCTGATCTGATCCGATCTGATACCGCAGCCAGTTCGAATCCTACCAGGAGTCGAACATAAGCATGCTCTTAATGTTATTTGTGTAGATATGACTCAGGTCAACGGCCTGTTGTGGCGCGTTTATTGCAATCTTATAGAAAAATCAGCAGCAAGAATAGCATAGCGATATGATGTATAGGTAACGTTAAGCCACCATGACTTTTGAAAAAAAGAATTGGAAGTATGGCAGGCTATCAACATGGATTTCGCATGGCACGTCCGCCAGTTTTTGTATGGGTAGGAAGGAGTTTTCCGCCTAAGGCGAAGGCAGGTTGCATCGAAAACAGGATGATATTGGGTTGCGTTCCCTGGCTCTTTCGGAGCAAGGCGTCGTGAGTGGCAAGCAAAAAGATGGGATAGGAAGCGATGGTCGTCTCCGATGTGACATTTTCCATCTGTCTCCTATTCTCTTCATTCCTTATTACTTTCTTCCGCGCTTTCGTTCCTTTGCTGCTTGCTTGCGGATGCCAGCAGGTTATCTCATTCTCCGGCTACTTGGCGAACATTGTGATGTTCAGGGCAATACCGCGCTATACCCAGCATCCTGTCAGAATGCCCAGATACCAGCGTGTCATATGCCGCTGCCTAGCGATTACCGTTACCGCATATCCAAAACCTAAAGAGGAACTGCATGCAGCCCTTACACCAGCCTGCCAGGTCCTGCTTGGGAACACTCCGACACTCGGTGGACTCTGTGGTGTGTCATGACACGCTCTGTCAATTCTGTGTCACCATGCACCAGGACGTTCGGAGAGCTTCTGGCATTTCTCCCACCGTGACAGCGAGTCGTTTCAGGAATACGGTTTCGGGTGGGTGGGTGATGGCTCCCTTATTCAGGCTAGATTATGAGATGCTGCTTCGGGATACCGACTGTTGACCCACTCCATAACCCACTTCCTCTCGGTGAGCATGCTACGTGCTCAAAATAATATGGGTGTTAGTAATATGGGTGAATAAATGTGTCAAAATAAAATAAATGAAGGGGTGTTTTCGTTGTTTTTTATGAATGTGCTGTGCTGATCGCTATCAGGAACCACGAATTATTATATCAATTTCCCAGCCGTACCTTCAAAGGTAAAAACGGTGCAGACAACAGCTAAACACAACAGCGTCTTCAGAATGGTCTCACATGCGCCGGAAATGACCTTTACCGTCAACACCAAACAGACCTGACCACACAACGTGACGACGCGGTCGATTCCAGCGACCGCACTGTGTCCGTGTGCTGGGAGTGCGGACAGCCATCGATCACGTGGTCGAGACGGCCGCACCAGTGACCCCTGACCCGGGACGGTCTCGCACCGCGGCCGGAAGCGCCGCCGGCCGCAGGGGTCAGGGGTCAGCGCTCGAGTCCATGCACCGTCCGCGCGCCGCCCTGGGTTCTGGTGGCAGCCGACCGACTGCAGCTAAGCCGTGTTCGCGCTCACCAAGGAGCTTCCAGATCAACACGCAGTCTCGGGGAGGGGGGGGGGGGGGGCAGCTCTTGGAGAGGTCAGAACCGCAGGTCATGACAATCACTCGCCGATCTCGTGGCGGCTAGAGGCCTGAGGCGCCCCGGATACGGAGAAGTGTGCCGGTCGGGTTTACAGCAGCTTTCCGTGACGCCGCCGCACGCTTTACGCCACGTAATCACAGGTGTTCGCGGAAGATGCATCGGCGCACGTGCATGACTGAAGAGAAAGTCCCCCGTGTCTCGAGGCCCTGTGCCTAGTGGCCGACCAAGGAGAGTGGCACAGCGATGGGTGTAATCGCGCACCGGATCTTAGCTCGGTTCCGGGGAAAAAGAGGATACGAACCTGAGGCTGCGGGCCGACTATCAGCGAGCTTGGCTGTGCACCAGTGAGTCATGCCGATGCACAGTAACTCCATTTACTTACACGTGAAAGAGCGCTGGGGTCCGACTGATAGCTGTAGTGACAAATTAGGCATCGTTTACCGCCTCCAACTATCTGGTTCTACTGCCTCAAACCTCCGTTCCACTTAATCGCGATTAAATCGATCTATTGTGAGCGATTCATCGCATCGTCACCCATGTCGAAAATTGAAGTGAACTCACTGATGGTTGTAGTCCTGTGTGCCGCATAAAATGGTAGGCAACTCTCAGAGAACAGGGCAAGCAGCAGGCGATTCGACCAAAAGCCTTCTTCAGTGCATAAGCCCTCTCCAGCAGCTCAAGATAAGCTCTTTTCAAGAGAGCTTGTCGCGGAGAAATCCGCTGCTTCCCCTGCTCTTACGAGACCAATCTACCACGCTGTACGGCATGCAGGTCAACAATCATCAAGAAGTCACCAAGAATGACGTCCTCCACATTCAGCAGCGTTCCTGAGAACTCAATCATGTGAACTCACTGAAGCCGGCTGCTAACCGCCTGGGGTAAAGTACTTTCTTCATATGCTGTGCCTGTTAAGGAATAAAGGTTCGTAACTATATTTGTTTTGCCTCTCAACAATCTGACAGGTGTTTCATGGCGGTGACATCATTTGGCGTCATTACGAAACCTCATTAAGGCTATTTACACCATCACTTAACACTTACCATCACGCCCTCAACTAAGTACTTCGTCCGCACATTGGGCACTCGTTTTTAGAAATGGCCACGGCTATATACTTACGGGATTTATGGCTATTAAGACCTAAATCGGATCGAGCTTCTTTCAAACTTAAGTCTCGCCCCTCAGTTTAATCATGGCAAGGACTTTCCGAGTGCTTTGCTGCTGCACAGCAATACATGATATACGTGTTGCTTTTCACAATAAATGGTTAAAATTACGGTATATGTATTTGACGAAGCTTGGGACCGCGGGAACCTGCCAAATGCACGCACAAGGAAAGACAGGTGAGTTAATGCCACCCCTTCAGCAAATCAGTGACTTTTGGGTGTCCGATTAAGGCGCGAAAAGGGTTTCCAAAGGGCGTTTACTTCCAGGTTACCCACTACAATAGAAATGTACATATCTGGGAGCGTGCTACGTGGCACAGGAAAAAAGCCCGCTCAATTTGGGCATTCTGGATTCCCCACATGGCAACCTGATTACGTCATTTTTGCGAGCTAATACAATGATTTCATACCTACACAGCGACCAACGGCTGACATGAGCCGTTTGCGTCGATGCCATCAGAGCCGTCGGTGCCATCGGTGCCATGGGCGCCGGTGGCCTCACCTGTGCCGTGGGCCGGGCCGGGTCAGTAGACGTCAGGTCAGCGCAGGTCGCGCGCCGCCTCAGCAGACCTGTCGCCGCAGAGCCGAGCCGCGAGACTGAAGCGGCGCGGCGCGACGCAGCGCCTGCCTGGGCCGCGCCGTTGTGCCACTTCGCGGCGGTGGACGCAGGCACGCCCGCCGCCGGCCACGCCAGCCGAGACGCCGCTCCAGGTGCAGCCCGGCGGTCTTCCTCAGGTCCGGTCCGGCTCGGGCGCCGCCCAGCTCCAGCTCAGAGCAGCCCCAGCGCAGCCGCCAGCGACAGCTCAGACGCAGCCCCAGCACAGCCGCCAGCGAGTCCGCGCACACCCCAGCGATGTCCGGTCCAGCCGGACGTGCTCCGGTCCAGCCCAGGCTCAGCCCGGTCCGGCCCAGGCACAGCGTCAGCCCACAGCTCGACGGTTCGGACGCAGCTTCTGCACAGTCTGGGCGCGGCCCCCGTTCAATCAGACACAGCTCCGGTTCAGCCCAGGGGCAGCCCCGTTTCGACCAGACACAGCCCCGGTTCAGTCCAGAACCAGCCCAAGTTCTATCAGATGCAGTCCCCGCCGAGGCTCTTTCCGGCCACGAGAGGTGGGGCGTAGTATGCGGCCTCGTGCAGTCAGTCGGGCTACCACCGCTCGTTTGCACGATGTGTGACGTCATCTGTTGCACGACTGCTCATGACTGACGTGTACGCAGGCAGGTGTGGACAGGCTCGTGACGTGTTGACACCGACTGCAGAAAATCGCAGTGTTTGGTAACGAATGTTCTCCAGGCAACGACCGCGCATGAAAAGCCAAGCTATCTTTGGAACGTTCAGCACAAGATGATGAACGTTCTAAAGACAGCTTTAAACGTTCAAACGTTCCACGTAAATGTTGGCACGACCTTGCGAGTATCGTGTCAGCAAGATGCTCACAAGATCGTGAGCATCTCGCTGGCACGTCATAACCCCGTGTACACTGTTAATTGCGAGAATTCTCACTCGGTACCACTTCAAATAGCATTAGATCATCATCTCCCTATTTGTATGGTCCAAGCGATCGCTCAAATCAGGAACCGACGGAACTGGCCATGGGCCGATTCCGTCGGCCGGTTGCACGGCTGCAGGCACACGTAATAGTTAGGTATCCACTAAAAAAAAAAATTGTGAATACACGTCACCCTGTACTGTGCGGGGTACTTTTTGGGTGCCCTTCTTCAGCTGTTAAGGATTCTGAAAAAGGCGTGTACAAATATTTAGCTGCACAGATTGTCCCATCACGGCAAACCCATGCACAATACATCCTCATCTCCTTGATGAGAATGGCTCACATGGCTACTCACACTTAATCTTCGCTCTGATTTGCCGCTCTCATAATGAGGACTGTTGGGAGGGGCCGGTGCGACCCCCTGATGCTTCCAAACTAATAAGGATATAGCTTAGCAGAAAACATCGGTCGGTTAGCCTGAACGACATCTCGGAATTAATGCTAACTGTTATGTTGTTAGATAAAAAAAAACTAGCCCCATTGTGCCGGGTCAATGGCCACAATTTCCAGAAAATCGCACTTTTCAGCTACGTAGCATCATACATACGAGAGGATGCCTTTTGGCAACACAGAACCTAAACAGGTGTGCTACTTGTACAAAGTATAGTACAATAGTGTCTGTTTGTACGTGTTTTGAGGATATTTTTGTGATATATGGCTTTGTTAATGTAACAATGCTGGCCCGCCGAGCGCATTCCGCGGCACCGTCGGTTTTCGCCCGCCGTCCGCGCCGGCTGTAGATCGTCATGCAGTGCTCCTCAAAAACTGCCGTTGCTACGGAGCAGCAAGGCTAGGAACACGTGTTTGGCACCAAAACACGTGCAATGGATGCCCCATGAGCTATTGGAAATTAGGGCGCGATTGTGCAACACGCCAGAGAGAGGTGTCCTCCAAAAACCTTTGGGGAAGAAGAAGCCACATCGATACTTGCTTATCAGGGCAATAGTAAATGCCCGCTAAATTTGTTACGCGGTAAAAATGTACGCTGGCTAGTTGCTGATATCGTCCGTGCCGCTACTCCACCGAGACATATGGCTGGTCTGCTGCATTAACTCGACCTTAGAGCATGAAATCCGCGTTCGTCCACACTTTCTTCCGATGGATTCGACCTCTTTTCGAGCACAATCGCCCCATTTTCCTCCCAGCGAGAGAGGGTCGTACAGTAGAGACCGGTAGTGCCCCCATTATCGCCATCATTTTCAGCCGACCTTACTAGCTGAAATACTTTAATTCAGCGGAGGTGGCTGTCCAGGTCCTCAACGCAATAACCTGTTTCGAGGCAAATGGTCGTGCTTGAGATTAGACGCACGCAAATGTGCGTGATGGGCCGGTGAGTGGTGGCAACACTCAGCTGTTAGACAGCATCGCAAACAAGCAGCACGGCATGACAGTTCGTGGTTTGCCGATGGGAATACTCGACGCCAGGTTGGCAAGGGAGCTTGTTGAGAGGCGCTGGTGTGACGACCGAGCCGGCCATCCACACACGACCTCGCCACCGATGCTCTCCGGACCGTGGCATACCTGGCGCTCTGACCCTCCAGCGTGGCCACGCCGTCCGTCGCGAGGAGTGCAGTCGTCGCACGCGGCGCGGCGTGGGAACGCCATTTCCGCTAAACAATGCCCGGCTGGGCGGGAAATTTCTAACTGCACCTGTCACCGACCGCGGGTCACGGGCGCGCGCGGTCCGTCACCGATGTGGCGCGCAGAGAGGTGCTGACTGTGAGGAGGAGCAGCGACGGGACTCGCTGGCTCGAAGGGCGGCATCGGACGTGCTGCGTGTCACGCAGTCTCACGATAGGATGACCACAGCGAGAAGCTCTGATAGAAGCGCATAGACGAAGTGCAGAGTGGTTGTCTTCTGGCCCCATCGCCGGAAGACCTCAATAAGAAAGTCTTGATCGACAGGTAAATGAACATACGGGTGCCAATGATATCACATAATAAGCAAGCACATTGCCATCTCAAAAACGATTTCACACGTTTCAAAATAACCACATTTTATTCATCATATGTAGCGAGGTCATAGAGCAAATAAGTGCACATATCTCACGGCCTGAGCCCAGCCACCAGCCCGCTCGAGACCGATTCAGCGTCTCCGATCTCCGCTGGGGAGACCGGAGACGCGCACGGTTTTCCGCGACACGGAGGCGGCCGCCGGCGCGCCAGCCGACCAGCCGGCCACGCCCCGCCAGCTCGACCCGCCGCGGTTTCTGTCCTGGCGCCGGGCGGCACGCCGGCGTCCGGCGTCGCCACACCCTGCCGCGGCGAGAGCCCCGCCGCTGTTGTGAAAATCACCGATGGAGCCGTGGGTGTGGTGCATTCCAGTCCGCTCCCTGGAGCCGGTTCGTAACGGACCTGGACCAAGTGAAGATGTCGAGAATTCTGACCATTTTGGGGCTATTGGGAAGGATCGCATTGTTATGTTGTCTTTGAGTGAGTGACCCAGATGTGACATGGTGGCGTGATCTTCTCCGCAGCGCATGCATCATAAGCATGAACGTATATGGACTCACCGATCTTGTCACTACAAAAAACCTAAACAATGGCTACACTGAACATGGCTATCAGCTATGAGGCCAGTGCAGAGGGACCCAACCGGTGCCGAAAAGACACTGGATAAGTTATATAATAATGGGGGGGGGGGGGGGGTTACCACGTAATTGCCATTGAAGAGAACAATGGAGGGTTTGGCTAAGCTGTATGACATGATGTAAGCAACAGAAGCCTTGACCAGAGGCTTCGGCTTTTGTAAAATATTTCGGGCCCGCGTCCATAGTCTGGTTACCTTACTTTACACTTCATTTGAGTTTTTCAACGGATTTAGCCACCTGTGATGGACGGCAATCCAAGTTTTTATTTTTTTGTTTCATCTAACAAGCTATCAGTTATCTTACTTTAAGCAGTCTAGTAGCTATGGACAGTAATTTGTGCACTAACGGTGGCTTTGTATAATAGAGAGTTGCTTACCCTTTTTACCTTTTTACATTTTTATGATATTCCAGCCAAACATATTGACGGGTGAAGCCAACGGTGTGGGGTCAGCTGATTAGGGACCAGGCCCATTATACAAAATACAAAAAAAAAAAAACACCCCTGCCGTGAATTCTCGGGCTTTTGTCGCCATGAGTAGTGAGTTGCTGTGTTGAAATGGTCGTCGCTCTTGCTCCACTTTTCCAGGACGTGCCGGTCACTAAACAAGCAGTGGTTATTTGGGACAACTTGACGTATGGGAGCTGTGCTGAAGGGGACAAGCTGTTCGAAGTTAGTATGGCCGCACTTTAAGTAAGCCACACTCTTGGCCATAAGCAGTTTTGAAACGTCGAGTTTGCTTAACATATCCAATGCTTCCTTGATTGATTGCACCGCCTAATACGTTCTGGTGTACTGATCAGTGATGTTTAACCTAAGACCTCTCATCTCATGATGATTTGTACGAGATTACGCAGACCTCTCATAATACCGCTTCGCACGCGGGTGAGCTCCATGGCGCGATGGAGTGAGCGTGTCATGCCCAGCCCCTCGGGCGATCGGCGAGGCCTGCAGCGTGGGACATGGAGCGAGGTCAGCCGTGGTACACCCTGCGCATCGCGTGACGGGCAGCGTTTCACCCACAGCCGTAAAGGTGACGGTCTGAAGCGAACGCCCACAGTGCCACTGCATGTGCGCATTTGTCGCTAGCAAAGACCCTCCCGCAGCTGTAATAACTTTGATTTAATTGCTTTAAGTTTCAGCTTTAGTGCTATACCTGCTTGGGACTGGAATAGCATAATCCAAGAGCGCAACATGTCGTTACTGCGTGTTTATCACATCGCTCCAGCCGCCGTGCATCACATTGATGACGCCCGTTCGGGGAACTTGGTTTGACAGTCATTCAGCTGCACCGCCCACAGGCCTGTGCAAAAAGTAGAAACCGTGGCGATGCCGGCTTCCGCTGCAGCAGGCGATCCCACGCTCTTTGACCTGCGCAGCTCTCCTGTCACGGGTCAGGTCAGCTCCGTGCGCCGAGAGATAGATGTGTGATGGGAAAACGTAAAACGAA